TTGAGGAGGAAGGAGAGTCAGCTGGGAAGAGAAACCTTCCTCTGAGAAGTGTGTGGTACCCAAACATGGCCTTTTTCTGAGGCCAGGGGAGCGGCTTCATTTCCCACTGGTGAGCCTTGCTGCCAGAAGGGGAGATGGAAGGAAACCAATGTCTGCATTTAGGAACTTCCAGCAGGTTTTATTTTTCCACCAGGATGTTTCTCGTCGTGGTGTCTCTGAATTGCTTTGGGCTGGATGCTCCTCAGTCTGGGATTTGATTTCCTGCAGGGGAAGATGGATTGAGTTAGTGGAGGAAAAAACAATGAAGGAAGGAAGAATAGATATTATGGGTCTGTTGTTTTATGGTGGCTCCTTGTATTGCCTTTCCATAAAGTTGTGCAATTAAGGAGATGTAGAAGCAGGGGAAATTGCTTATTTGTCCTCTGCTCTCCTCATGTGAGAAAGCTTTTCTCTCAGAAGGAAGGAGAGTGGGGTTATTTGAACAAATCTGGGAATTTCATCTTATAGAGGAGCAGGAATGTGCTCATCCTGTCAGCCTTGGGGGAGAGTTTGGGACTATTTAACATGCTATAGGTAATCTTTAAAAAAAAAAAAAAAAAAAAAAGTCAGGGAATAGGGAATACCCTGCTGTGTATTTGGACTGGCTGCTGGGACTGGGCCAGCAAAGCTGGTGAAGTCAATGGCTGCACCCCAGTTCTGCTGCCTTCTTCCCCTCCCATAGGATTCCAGAATGGCCTGGGTTGGAAGGGATCTTAAAGTTCATCTCATTCCTCCCCTCTGCCATGGGCAGAGACACCTTCCACCATCCCAGGTGGCTCCAGGTCCAAGCCCTGTCCAGCCTGGCCTTGGGCACTGCCAGGGATCCAGGGGCAGCCACAGCTGCTCTGGGCACTCTGTGCCAGGGCCTGCCCACCCTGCCAGGGAACAATTCCTTCCCAATATCCCATATAAACCTCTCCTCTTTTAGTTTGAAGCCATTCCCTCCTGTCCTTTCCTTACAGTTCCTGCTGAGCTGTTCCATAAACACCTCGGATTTCCTTTCACATCACGTTGGTTCTGAATAAATTTCAAAACGCAGCCTTTTTATATTTAAGGCTTATTTCTTCAGCACCTCAGGTGTCCTGGCCTGCAGGAGGAACACTGGCCAGCATTCTGTCCCCCTTCTCCTTGCCTGGTGCAGATGCAGAATCCGCTGCTGGCACCAAGTGGCTGCCGGTGGAAGCTGCTCCGGAGGTGTTGGACTCGCTGGCTGATTGTGGGTATGATTTTGGGATGGGGAAAGACCCCCCTGTCCTCTGTTTGTCCTGGTGGGAGCAGGAGCTGCTCCATCCCCCTCTGGATAATGCCAGGTGAGCACTGCTTTGGCCCTGCTTTTCCTTCTTTAAGATCCATGAAAGGGGAAAAAAGGCTGTCAGAGGACTTGTTATCTGTAATAAACCCCTGTGTGCTGTGCCCTGCATCCCCTCCTTGCAGGGTGGGGGGTTATTTCCTCCCCAGTGAACAGAAAAATAACCTGTACAGTATCACCATGTGCATGGAGGCAGATAATTGTGGTTACCTGGGAATGGGCACTATTTTTCCTGCTTTTTTCAAGTACCCGGAGGATTTTAACAGTTAGCGCTGTTTGTAGGCTGTGTATGAGTGCTGAAAGAAATATTCCTGTAGGCTTTGCACCCTCCTTCATTTCCAGGTGGTGAGTTGTGTTTGGCTAGAAGGCATTCCAGAGGGTAGAGGAGCATGGATGTACCTCTGCTCCCAGGAAAGGGGGTGCCAGTGGTAGCTGAGGGTTTTCTTTCATCAGGAATCAGCGAGTTTCCACTCACAAATCCTTTGGAGCCCAGTTTCTTTGTGGATCAACACAATCTCTGACATACCAGAAAAAAAATAAACAGATTTTTCTCCCTGAAATTTCTCTTTAAATGACATGGCCTGCTTATCCCTTCTGTAATTAATTTAAATGCATCTGACAGCAGCTTGGAGGCAAGATTTGAACTTTCTTTATCCCTCACTGTGATGCTGTTGCTTTTGCTCAGTTCACTGGTGGTTCTATTGGAATTTGGGAACTGGATGTGGACCAGCTCTCACTTCCCAGCCCTTTCTGGGCTGACCTTTGCATTGAGCACCACTGTACGTGACAGTGGGCATCTGAGTGTTCTGGTTTAATGTTAAAAATGTTCATTTTTAAAGTGAGATAAATAATAAGCAGCATAAATTCCATCGTTTCCAGGCATTTTTTTTTTATTTCTTGTGAATAGTTGTGTCACGTATCAGTATTAAAATGAAGATGAAAAGTATTTAAATTTTTCCTTCCTGGTCTTTTTTGCATCTGGTAGTGCAAAACTGAAAGTTTAGTTCCAAAAAACCTGCAATTAGCTGGTTCTTTATTTCCCCATCTGCAGGGAGCTGTGCTTGCTTGTGTTACCCCATGGAGCTGCCCAATGCTTGATCCTGAATGCAGGGCAGGGGGATAGGGAGCTGATGGGCTTTTAGACACCAACTTGAGATTTTCTAAGCATAGTCACCACTTAGGAGGTTGATATGAGGTATTTGGACCCATTTCCTAGCCTTTAATTAAAGATGCTACCTAAAGCTCTGCTAAAACTCGGGGTATTTTAAGGCTGTTGGTAGAAAAATGCTGATTTGTGTCTTTGGGGATGAAATTAGGAATACTACAGCAGAAGAAAGCATCAGTGCTGCTTTTGAAGCTGCACTGATGGCAAGTTTTTGTGTCCCAGGGGCATTTTCTTTGCATTCTTCAGGCATGGCAGAAACTACTTCTGCTTTTTAATGAAGAACATTTCCAGCAAATGAGTTTTCCCTATCCTTTCACAGGAGATTGTGAGAGGCCCACATTTTGCATCATGAGTGATCCCCAAAGCCTGTGTCATATGACAGTAAAAATCACCATTTTCCCCCCAAAGCTGTGTGGGCCACTCAGGTGAGAGCACAAGGGGGCTGAGGAGCAGAATTTCTCCATTTGGGATCTGCCTCCTGCCAGAGTCACCATACAAATCCCTCCAGCCTTGGTGCTCCACTTATCAGGAATCCCTTGGTTTCCCACTGGGAAAAGCAGCCAAGATCTGGTTGATAGGGTAACAATTAAAATTCATTAGCACTGAAGAGCAGCTGAGGCTGGAATGGTCAACTCAGCAGGCAGCAGAATGTCAGTCACTGGTACCAAGTTGTTCCCCATGAGCTTAAAAATTAATTTTGTTGTTAAATGTCATCTTCTGGCTTGTGATCAGCTGGAGTGTTGGTCTTGTGTTTCCTGGTAAATTTGGAGGGATATAATCTATCCCAAATAAGGGATCCCAAGTGCTGAGATCTGCGAAGCTGGGTGAAGTCTAATGTTGATGCTTGTGGATTCACAGAGCAGGGGGAAAGGAAAGGATGAAATCCCCATTATTCAGTTGGCAAAGAACTGGTATTCCCACCCAGCCCCTTCCCAAGCTGGGGAATGGCTCTTCCCTCCTCCCCTGCAGTGGAAGCCAGGAGACAAACTACTGCAGGAGACACGGATGAGTGGAGAAAGCCTTCTCTGCCCAAGGGCTTTTTGGAAGTTCTGCAGGTGCCTCACAGCAGCATTTGTAAGAGTCAGGGTCTGGAAGGGTCTGAGGATGAGGAGAACTTGTGGAAGGTGAAATTTGGAGACATCCATGAACCTTCCCTTGCTGGGATACTGGCCTTGGAGCAGAGGAGAGTGAAATTAGAAGACCTTTGCAAGACTTCTCTGTCCCTGTTCAGAGCAGCCACTCATTAGCCCAGCCCTGTGAGATAAAACTGGGAGGGATTTCTGAGTTCCTTTTTTCTTCCTTTTTTCTTTTTTGCTTTTCCCTGGGGATTTTTTCTTTCCAGCTCACAGCTGCACGTTCTCTATTTCTTCAGGGAGGTCCTGACCTCAACAGGTGTCCTCACACTGGGGCACCATTAAATGTTGGTTTTTGTGGGGTTTGGTTTTTTTTTTACTTTTGTTAAGGCTGGGATTGAGTGCTTGAGATGGTATTTTGGATTTAGATTTAGATGTTTATTATTTTTATTTATATTATAAATTGAGTTTTACAGTATTGTATTAATAAGTTATAAAATGTTTAACTGTTTTTTAAGGTTAGACTATTTAATTAAGAAATGACACTTAAATTATTTTTACTTTTAATTTAATTACTTGAATTCCACAATGCTGACTTTTTTGTTTAATTTTAAAATATTACTTAAACTTATGAAAAAGAAGGTGAAGAAGAACAACTAGCTACTGTCTTAAAACTTTTATTTTGTCTCTATATATTGTTAAATTTTAAATTTTAAACTCTAAGTTATCTACTCTGTGATATTACACACTTCTAATTAAACTAAACACTCATAATCTTAGTGGTATCAATCAATTTTGGGAGCTTTCTCTACACCCTCAGGTCACATGAAAACTCACCTGAAAGGTGCCTGTGCTCCGCTGGGGTTGGTCTCTTTCTCCTGACAGCACTGACAGAGGACACAGTCTCAGGCTGCACCAAGGGAAATATAGGTTGGATTTTAGGAAAAAGTATTTTACAGGAAGGGTGATAACTGGAATGGCCTGCCCAGGAAGGTGGTGGAGTCACCATCCCTGGATGTGTTTAAAACAGACTGGATGTGGCACTGTGTGCCAGGGTTTAGTTGAGGTGTTAAGGCTGGGTTGGACTCGATGATCTTGGAGGTCTCTTCCAACCCAGTGACTCTGTGAATTCTGTGAAATGCAGTGTTAGAGTCTGTTGGTACAGAAAGTCTAAAATTCTCAGCATCCAGGACTCCAACAGAGGCTTCTCCCAAGAGCTGTCCAAGGAATTGCACATAGGGCCAGTGTGGAGAGACAATCCTGGGGAAAGCAGGTCCTGGAACCCATCAGCACTTCTCCTTCACCAGTGTTTCCTGCAATGTTAATTCCTTATGGTGCCTTTTTCATGCTTCACACCTCAGGTGGAGCTCTGTGCTGCTCCTGGTTTTCATCTCCCTGTTCCCTTCCCTCGCAGTTCGAGCGGCACGACCCGGTGGATGGGCGGATCACCGAGCGGCAGTTTGGGAGCATGCTGCTGGCTTACAGCGGGGTGCAGTCCAAGAAGCTCACTGTCATGCTCAAACAGCTCAAGAAGCACTTCCAGGATGGAGAGGTGAGTGGCATTCATGGAAAATTTGGGAAAATTTTTCCCATCCCCAGGCTGAGCTGAGAAATGAGTTAAGCGCGTCTTCTTTGGAAAAGCATCCGCTCCCTGTTGAGCCATGGGAGAGAGAGGGAAGAGCTGGGAGTGCAGTGGTTGGTGTCCAGTGCAGGCTGTAGGTTTGTTCCTTATGAAAATAGATGCTGTAATTTTAAAAATTCAATTTGCTGAATGGCACCCTGGGTCTGGAGCCAGAACAAACACTGAAGCCATGCTCTCAGTTCCTGACTCGACCTTGGATTCATTAGCTGCTGTGACCATGCAGTTTATTATTTAGTTATTAACTTCTGGGAAAAATTACTCACAATTTAGAGAGGAGTAAGTTTGCAGACCCTACACTCATTAATTCAGTGAGAGTCCTTGGAATAAGATATCCATACCACAAGATGTGCTTTATCAGGTAAGGCAAGTATGGGCTGAGAAATTACTGAGCATTAGAATTTTACATCTGCCCCTATAATGGATGTTCTTTTATTAAGCCAGAATGATCTTTTATTAAGCCAGAATGTTCTTTTATTAACTGGGATATAAACAAGCAATTCATCAAAGTGAGAATGGATGGAAAGTCTCTGGCTGGCTGTTTTAGAGCTGCTTTCTTCTGACATCAGAACCAGAGTTTATTTCTTAACTGGTTTAGGTGCCAAGTGTGTTATAAAACACAAGTTTTTACTAGGGTCTGCAGCTTTTTTTATTCCTGAATAGGATTCCTACATTAACAGGAATCATTTGATTTCTCCAGGAAAAAGTGCTTAAATGCAATGTGTGTCTAATAGAAAAATATCAGCTCCGGTTTTGAAGTTTGCAAATTGTTGATTCTTTTGCTGTGATTTTTTGAGTTTTTATCTATATATATGTGTATATGTGTGTGTGTATAGATATTACTGAACAGTAGCTGTGTGAGAAAAGAGGCAAAGGAATTTATTTTGGAAGATTTCCTTACAGCAGATGTTTTCTTCCTTTCATGTGTAAGCCAAGACCCTGACATCTGTGCCAGAGGAAGAACTTCTTGTTCTTACCTTATTCCTCATCCCCAAATCAGCCAGATTGTCTTTCTATTTACAGCCAGCCAGACTCAGAGCAAATCTTTATCTTCCTTTATTCCAAAGACTTTCAAGGAGAGAAAATGGGCAATAGGACAAAAAAATGTATTATTTTTGTAAGGAATAGAATTGGTGAAAAATTAATGATTCCTTACACTGGTAAGGGTGAAATGCCCAGAAACTGTCCTAAACTCACCCAGCAAGGCTTTCCCTTGGAAGTGCAGCTCTTTTGAGGGAGCTTTCTTATGGAATCTGCCAAACCTTCTCTTCTTTGTCTGATGCAATTACCTTGACTGCACAAGGCAACCCCGGCAGCCTCCCAAACAGCAAAACTCTGGGTTTAATCTAATCTTTTGCTTTTCCAAGGCTGTTATTCTGCATTCCTGCTTTTGAGAATGATAAGTTTTCTTCTATTAACTGCTAATCTGCTTTCATTATTTTTTTTTTTCTTGAGGAAAAATCCCATCTTACCCTGGATGGGTGAATTTTGCCTATTCAGCAGAGCTGCCACAGTCTGTTTTGTCTAACGTTGCTTATGAGTGTCCTCCCCAAATTGTACTTGCACAGCTGCTTGGTAAAAAGGACCTGAGTCATCAGCAATATTCACAAGCAATGCACTATTTGGTTTATGCCCCCATAACTGCTGGAAAACCAAGCTGTTTCTTCAGAAACCAGTGATTCATGTTCTCTCCCACATGGTCTTCGGGGGCCGGCTGGGGTATTAGCAGGGGGTGGCAGTGAGGTGGAATTCCTGGCTGAACCTGGAGTCCCAGGTGAAAAGGCCTCATTTTTGCAGGAGATGTTTGAGCTGTTGTGTTACAAGCAGGTAAGTGCTTCTGGAATCTCCCTGTTGATGTTCTGTGAGGATTACTTGGGTGATGAAGGAGTTCAACTGATTATGAATTAACAGCTGGAGCTACAAATGCCTTGAAAGATGTGATCATTCATCTGTTGACTTGCCTGAGGCTGTCCCAGTCTCTGATTTTTATTTTGTTTTGGTAGCTGGACCAGAGTTAATGCTGATGCCAGCCTCACCTATAGGATTCCTCAAAAAAAAAGAAATTTCACAATATTGATGGTATTCTTGCTACAGATATTCAGTGGTTTTGTCCACATGAAAGCCACAATTTGTAGGATACACTTGTGTCACTGTTTTTGTTTTTTCAGCTGGTGAAAGGACCACAAAGGCCAGGTTGGGTGGGGCTGGGGACATCCTGGGATAGTGGATGGTCTCCCTGCCCATGGGACACCATGGAATGAGATGGACTTTGAGGTCTCTTCCCACCCAAGCCATTCCAGGGTTCCAAACAGGGGACCATTATGCACAGACAGCAGTGCTGCTTGGCCTTGGCATCTGCCATTTTGGAAATTCCAGGAAAATACAAGGTTTATGGCTCTTTGCTTAGGACACTGCAGACCCCAGATGTCCCAGACAGAGCAGGCAGATTGCAGCACAATGTTTTCTGCTGGCCTGGAAGTGGCCACACCACCTCATGGTTCCTCCAGGCTTTCCACACTCCCAGTACCCTGCTCTGTCAGGAAGGCATCATGATAATTGCCAAGATATTTTCTCTTGTAGAACCATTGTACAAAACAGGGATCTTTGCATTGCTTCCTGCAGAAGTACCTGATTTATTGTTTGTTTTTTTTTTTTTTCCCTAGGATAATATTTCATTTAATTCTGCTGTATATCCTAGTGTTCCCCTTGGGAAGAGGAGCAGGCAAACATTCAAGGAAAGCTCCCTGCAGAGTCACCAGGGATTTCTTTCTTCAGTCAGCTCTGTTGTCCACATGTGCTCTCCCATTTTGCCATCTCATCCTTTTTGGCCCAGATCCATGAGTCCAGGGCTGACAAAGCTGCTGTTGCATGTGTCAGTGCACACGTAGATCATCAGAGCAGGGCCACATACTCACTTACAGCAAAGATAGGAACAAGCTGCAAATGTCTGTTTGGAAAGACCTTAAAAATGTTCTTTTTCTTTCAAAAGATTGGTGGCTTCTTCCTTGATTAGGAGTTGTTTGAACAGAGTTACAGCAGATTGTGTAAATTTATATTTGACAGTACCTGCTGAACACATCCAGATTGTGGAGCTGTGCTGTGTTCTGCAGTTTGGATTTTTAATATCTTGCTCTATCAATCTGTCCTGCCAGGCAGAATAGGAGGAGCCTGAACCTGAACTGTCTTGACAAGCTGATTTATGTCTCCCAGAGAGGGAGTCTGAGTGGTTATTACTGTGCTGATGATTCACCTCCTCCCTTGGCTCCATGCCGTGGCTCTGCTGGAGTTGGAGGCTCCAGCTCTTGTCCCAGTGATGCCTCAGGTTTTAGCTTTTATATTTTTCACATTCTGTGCTGCTTTAGACTGTGGGTCTGGGGGTCATATTAGGGGATGGTGAGCTCTCTGCACAGAGCAGGGAGACAAAACAATTCCTGCTCTAGCTGGGCACCAAGGACAAATGATCCAGATCTCAGGCCCAGAAGCACAAACAATGTGGGCTGAAGAGAGAAAAACAAGCAGGATGGGACTGCATGGGCTGGAGCTGGAATTGGACAATTAACTCCAAGATGCAAATGGAGCAGAACTTATGAGAGCCCCCGTGACCGGGTGTCCATTTTGTGACCATTTTGGTTCACTTTGGGTGCAGCCCTGGCTGGGCTCTTGTGCTGCCCAAGGTGGACCCATGGAGGAGGTCCTTTTAAATCCCTACTTTATTCTTTAACTCTGTCTAGTCTGTTCTAGGTCAGCCTTCTCAAGGCATCCCCAGCACTGCTGTGGTGGTGCTGGAGCTGCACAGGGTGATAAAATCAGGTGTCATGTAAGCAGATGGGGTTCAGAGCTGTGCTCATCAGCACTTCTTCTTCTGGGGATCTCAGGATGTTTTTCCATGACTATCCCAGAGTGTGGCTGTCAGCTCTCACCTGAGCACGTGCTCACCTGGCCAAGGTAGGTGAGCAGACAGGGATCCTGCCTCCAGCAGCAAAGCAAACTAGGACACTTCTGTGCTTTAGTGTCACCTTCTGCCACACTGGGGAAGAGCTGGATTCCCCCAGGGATCCCTGGATCTCTTGAGAGAGACCTTACAGTGCATGGGCTTGTTGAGTCTTTTATCTTTTTTTTTTTTTTTTTGTTAGGGTTGGGATTAAATGTGTGAGATGGTATTTCTTGTTTGGATTCAGATGTTTATTAGTTCTTATCTGTATTACAGTCTCACAAATCCTGAGTTCTACAGCACGTCACTAACAAACTACAAAATGGAGGGGTATCTCTCTCTACAAGGTCTTTTAAGGATAAGATGTTAAATAAGAAATGACACTTAAATTACTTTTTCTTTTAACTCAATAACTAACTACTTGTGACTTGCAATGTGGACTTTTTAATCCAATTACACAATATTACTTAAACTCATGAAGAAGAAGGTGAAGAAGAAGGACTAGTTTCTGCTCTAAAATTTTTATCTTGCTTTATATATAGTACTATATTTTAAAATCTTAAACTCTAAGTTTTTTACTATGTGATATTACACACTTTTATTCAAACTACACACCTATAATCTTAGTTTTATCATTTAATTTTGGAAGCCTTTTCTGTGGCTTCAGGTTGAATGTAGTGGTTTTTGGAGGTCACTGTCTGTCAGCACAGAAAGTCTAAAATTCTCAGTAACCAGGGTTCCAGCATGGACTGTTTGATATTGTCATTGCAAAGAGTGCAGGCTTCAAAAAAATTGGTCAATTCACCTGTTTGCAGTGGTCTCCTGCATCTGAGGTCTGCTCACCTGAGAGATGTTTTTCAGTCCCTTCCTGTTGTGGGACTGGTGGGGCCAGGAGGGGAGCAAAAGCACAGGTCACAGCCCACATCCTCAGGTGCCAAGGCTGAGTGTTTGGAGTGTGCAGATGAATCCTCTCCTGGCTACAGCTTTGGGCCAGTGAGTCACCGTGTCATTTCCAGGAGTGTCCATGATCTCCTTTTCCCATCACTACCTGAGTGTCTTTTCTCTGTCCTAGGGGCTGACTTTTGAGGAGGTGGAGAACTTCTTCACCTTTCTGAAGAACATAAATGATGTGGACACAGCTTTGAGCTTCTACCACATGGCTGGAGCTTCTCTTGATAAAGGTACTAAAAGCTGTGGGGTGTTCAGGTGCTGAAAGCCTGAGGGAGCACAACTCATGCTGTGTCTTTGGAGTTAGGAAGATGTCAGACAAGCCCAGGCTGACAGGTTAAAAATGTACCCAGATTGCAATTCCTCCCTGTAATGAGGTGCTTAGCTCGCTGCATCCATGGATTGAGAGGGATTTCAGGTTTTATACTTCCAGAGTTTTAGATACAGGGAGAAGAAAGGCTGACATGTGTAGCCTGGATGGATGAGGAAGCAGTGATTTCATGGTGGTACCTTCAGAAGGACCTTTCTGCTGTGTGCAGAGGCAAGGTCACCTAATGAGTGTGCCACAGGCTGTGGTTCCAGATCCCAGGGACACCACTGTTTCTTCTTCATCCCCATCTTCTGAAGTGACCTTTTTTCCTCTTTCTACAAAGGACTTCAAAAATGAGTGCAAAAGAATTCTTGCAGAGTTATCTTCTGTGGAGGTCTCTGATGCACGTGGCAGAGGCACAGCAGCAGTGGGGCTGGTGGTAGGAACTGTTCAACCCCTGTTTTGTTTCAGCTTTGCTCAAAAATCAGACTTTGCCTAGAAATAAGAGCTGGATGCTGCATTTCTGATTGGGAAGCCAAGCAGTGGCAAACACCTTTGGAGCTCCTGGGAGTGCTGGAGGGAAAGAGGGGCAGCACTGGAACACCACTGAGGTCCCAGACTGAGCATTAAAGTCTGTCCAGAGACTCTATTTCAGATAACCCACAGTCCAGAGGAGTGGGCTGAATAAACCTCAGAGCTGGTGTTTCCTGGAGACCTTGTAATAATGTGGTTTATTGATCAGACCAATTCATATCCTTCCCCTTCTCCTCATGTTTCATTTTCTGAGCTGGTCTGTCTCAGGTTTGCTCTTAGATCTGACACACTGATTTAAAATAAAAAAGGCAAAAAATGCCCAAAATATATTTCAAACCAAAGTCCCACTCTGCTGCCAGGATCTGTCACAAGTGCTTTGGTCTTTAGGTTTTTCTAAGAGGGATCTTTTTTTTTTCTAACAGACTGAGAATATTAAAAAAAGATGGCAAACTCATTAAAAGATTTTTAGGCTAAGTGGAAACTCTTGTCTGCTATAAAGTTAAAGCTGATTCGTTTAGGCAGCTGCAGAATTAAACATTTTGGAAGTCAGCTATTCCAACTGCTGCTGTTGTGGGAATATTAAGGCATTAATAGGTTTTGGGGCAGGGGAATTACAGAGGGAAACAAACATGTCACATCTCTTCTTGTGTGTGTCAGCAGCCCTTCTCATCTTAAATTTTTTTGGGGGAAATAATCTGTACTCTTTGGTTTAGATCATCATTACCTTAAGACTTCAAATAACCTGATAGGATTTTCTTTCATTTAAAAGTAAAATACCAAGTCTGGGTGTGCTGCTCTGAGCCCTTTCTGTAGCATCCCAGGGGAGGTGATAGCCCAGCAAATCAAATTTACTCAGACCCTACAGGAAATTAGCATTTGTCCTGTCATGGAATAGATATATTTTGCAGAATTTAGGTCTGTGTGCAGTTGGTAAATCAGTGTGATTGCTATTTAATTTTGTGCCATTAATGAGCTCATGCAGCCACTGAGCTGGGAGTGTTTGTCGGGGGTAAGGGAACCTTCCTTAGGCAGGGATCAGATTTAAGTCAAGTAAACCATAAATGGGGTGTGCCCTCCCAAAAGTGAAGCTTTCACAAGGTTGCTGGTTACAAACTAACAAATGTAAAAATTACACTGGGATGGGGACTAGGGAGAGGTTAGTTTTTGTAATAATTTGCTGCTAAGAATGCAGCAAATATTATTACGATTTTAAAAAGGGTGTGTAAAATTTCAGAGGTACCAAACAGCCAGAGCCTTGACAGCCTGTTTTCTGTGTTGCATTAAAGTTGCTTCTTCTTCTAAAAAGGATCACAAACCTGTATTTTAATGACCCATTTAAAAACACACAGATTATTTGTTAGCCCATCTTTCATTTTCCCAGCAACATAATAGCTGTCATTCTTCTAAATCACAAGCACTCCTTAGGAGACTTCCCCAGCCTGGGCTCAGCTGGAAGCAGGACAGGAGCTGAATTTGGTGCTTATTCCCCTTTTAGGAGGGTGTGAATTGCAGTTTTTGTGGCACTGTGTGCAGCCAGGCTTTCCGTGCAGCCCTTCTGCCAGCAGAGAGCTGTGGGATAACTCCTTTGGGATTTAGGGCAAGGCATGGATGGGCCAAAGCACAGGGAGACAGCTGAGCCCACTGCTGATCCGTGGCTTGGACAGGGCTGGAGCCCCAGAGAAGTTCATGGAAAATCATTTCATTTGAATGATGCTGCTTGAAATGGCTCCAGAGTGGACAGGGAATCAGGAAGGAGGCAGAGGTGAGCTGGAATGCAGTCATGGAATTTCTGCTTGCTTTCCTCTGCCTTGGAGAGGGATGGAAGAAGTCAGCCCCCCTGGAAGCACAGCTTGGATTGCTCCTCTGGAATTATGGCAGTGCTGGGAGGGGAGGACTTGGGAGGGGTCTCTGGGACCCTGGTGTCCAACAGGATCCCCTGCAGCTGCTCGCCCTGGGCCATCTGCAGTCAGGTCTGGGATGTCTCCAAGGAATCTCCTTCCTCTCCATATTTCTGGCTGTGGATATTTCTCCAACAGCTCTGCCTTTGGGCTGGGAGCTCTGTTTTTTTTCTTCCTGATCTCCATGACTTTCTGTCATGCTCCCTTTGATGTCAGAACAGCTTCTACTCAGCTGCAGGGCTGCAGTTTGAGAAGAGCAAGGAAAATTTGGTGTGCACACAGGATTGCACAAGGCTTATCCATCTCTTTCTTGGATGGGTGTTCCAGCACGTACTCATGCAAATGATTTGTAAAAAGTTCAATAGATTTTGGTAGCTAAACTGCCAGTGATAACATCCAACATTTCCAACTGGGAGCCTTGAAATGAAACGTGTGCATCAACGTGAGGCTGATTTCTGGGAGCCCAAAACACAACGTGTCCTGCCTTTCCATCCTGGAATGGCCCAGGGCAGGGAGCTCTGCTCCCATCACCCTGAGTGCCATTTGGAAAACAAAGGCAGCAGCCCAGCTGTCCATTCTTTTGGCCACATGTGTGATTAATCTCAAGTTGGAGGGAAAAAGTGAAGTTTGCCATCTGGCGAGGCTCTGGCCTGGAGCGAAGCCCCATTTGCAGCTCTTGGTGAGGCATTCTCACAGTGCAGTTCTGGGAATCAGAGTGGAAAAAGAGGATAACTGTGTCAGACTCTAAACTTGCATAAAATCACTCAGATGGCTCATTAAAGGAACCACTGGGAGATACAAATGCATGAAATTTTAGAAGCTTTTCGAGATGGAAATGTGGAACTCATTTTTGATGATATAAAATCCAGGAGAATTTCTATCCCTGAACTCCACACCTGGACAGGCTTTTGGAGATGTTCCCCAGACAGCACCTATTTCATTTTGTGAAATGGTAAAGAAATTATTCCAGCAGGTCTGCTTCAATTTTATTTGCCTACCTGAGCTACCCTGTGGTCTGGAGCATGTGTGTGGAAGTGAAAGCAGAGACACTTTCCCTCTTCCTTATGATCCCTTAAAAACCAGCACAACCCAGTCATGCAGCCCCTGTGAAGTCATTTTGGCATCAAGGAAGAACGATGGGATGGAGCTGACACTTGTGCAGTTGGATTAATAAGAGAGGAAGCAGGAACTGGTGGCCACGAGTACAAGTTCCAGCTGGGAAAACTGTGGCTGTGAAAAATAAACAGGAGGGGAGGGATCAGGAGACTCCCTGCAGAGATGGAGGGAGTGGGTAAAATCTCAGCAGAAAAACATAAAATTAAAGGAATTAGGACAAGGGGCAATGGTTTTAAATTGAAAGGAGAGATTTTGATTTGGTGTTAGGGAGAAATTGTTCCCTGGCAGGGTGGGCAGGCCCTGGCACAGGGTGCCCAGAGCAGCTGTGGCTGCCCCTGGATCCCTGGCAGTGCCCAAGGCCAGGCTGGACAGGGCTTGGTGCCCCTTGGGACAGTGGAAGGTGTCCCTGCCCGTGGCAGGGGTGGCACTGGATGGGCTTTAAGGTCCCTTCCAACCCAAACATTCTGGAATTCTGTGATGAATTCCACATGAATGAATGAAGAAATGATGAAGAAATTAAGAAATCATTCTAACTTTTTAGATGTAAGGCTACAGCCAAAGGGTACCTAGGGCACCAGGACTGGAGAATGGCATCAAGGTGAAGCACCTTGAGAGAAGTTCTACATTTACATCAAATTAAATTAAATTTGGAGTTGCTGTCTGAGGAAATGCAAAGTAATAACTGCTGACTGGAGCTGCATCACTTATGGAGAAAAGGAATTTCTCTCAAAAAGAATAATTACATGGGAAAAGCAGGGTCCTACTTGAGATTATATATATTTTACATATATACAATGCATCATTTCAATTTTCTCCTGCATTATTTAGTAAAAGGAGAGGTTTTATGGGGAAAGGACCTGATGGTGGCTGTGAATTCCTCTCAGAAAACCCCAGATTTCACTCAGGGGAGCAGAAATTGGGTGGAAGGTAATGTAAGCATCAATGAAAAAATCCCATTAGAAATATTTTATGCAGTTTGTAATTAATCCAGTTATGGTATATATTGGATGATTATTTTTTCCTTTCTGACACACTTAACTGTCCAGAATTCCTGAAGGACTGGGGGTGCAGAAGCCCATAAGATGCTGTGGAGGAAAGCAGAGGCTGTTTGTGGTCTCAGTCTGGTTTTGTGATGCACCATTTCCTTTTTTTCCCTTGCTCCACAGCTAAACATTGATCCCAGTTGCTGTGGATGGTGTTTCCTTGGGTCAGGCTTTGTAGAGAAGCAATTTAACTTTAAATACACTCACACCAGCCTAGTGAGGGGGCTTTTTTTTTCCCATTTGTGCAGCAAAATCAACTGCCTAACCCTGCCAGATTAATAGCTCCATGGATTGCCCTTTTCTAAAGGTGGGAATAAAACTCCTCCTTGCTTCTCTGCTGCCAGTCTGGGGAGAAAAGGGAAATAATTCCTTACAACTCCTTATTTTATTGCAAGGTTAATCTGGTCTGCTGCCTGCGAGAGGGTGAGTGGGTTCATTCTGCAATTACTGGGTTGCAACAGGAAAAGCAGGTTTTGGAATTCCCAGTTTTTGGAATTCCCAGTTTTTGGAATTCCCAGTTTTTGGAATTCCCTGCTTGATAGAGTTGCATTCCAAGGAATGCTTGATAGCATTCCTTGGAATGCTGTCAGAAGGAGCTGCCCCGTTGATCAAGCTCATTCCAGCCTCTCTGAAGACACAAAGGCCGTTTTCCAGGGAGGAACAGGAGTCTCCTGCTGAGGTGGGCACACCCTGCCCCCGAGTGACCCAGTGCCTCCCTGTGTTGCAGTGACCATGCAGCAGGTGGCCAGGACGGTGGCCAAGGTGGAGCTGTCGGACCACGTGTGCGACGTGGTGTTCGCGCTCTTCGACTGCGACGGTGAGTGAGCGCTCCTCGGCCAGGGGACTCAGCCCAGGGCAAGAAACCAGGGGAGGAGAGGGCTCTTCTTGCCGTGCTCTGTGTCCCGGGATCTGGGCTGATCCCCTGTCACATAGGTTTGCATACAGATACACACACTGTGTAAACCTTCTGTCAGGCTTTAAGGATTCTCTCCATTTCCCACATTCCCCCTGCCCTTTTGGGAAGGGTATCCGATGGTAGCCATGCTGTGAGATGTGCATGTTGGAGCACAGATGGGAGGGTTTGGTGTGCACACTTTGCTCCTTTCCCCCCCCCCCCACCTCCAGAGAACTCCAGTTGGTCTAACAAAATGTGCTCCAGTGTTGGAAACGAGCCGGGCTGGGGCTTTATCTCCAAAGTCCTAGACAAATGTCAGCTTAATTTTTAATTAATTAATAGCAGCTCTGTGCCCTGCTGGGAAGCTGGCTTTGCAGAGGGTGTGAGTGCCCCGGGGTAGGTGCTGTCACACTGAAGCACTCCGGGCTTGATTTAATGGGAGTTACTGGAGTCTTTGCCAGGTGACAGCAATTCAGATTTGGAAAGAAGGAAATTCTGCATTTGCCCAAAAGTGCCAAGCCAAAATCAGAGTCCTGGCTGGCACCCTGCTTCTCTAGCACAGACCCAGCATCTGGCAGCTCTGAGTGGCAGTACTGCTGCATAAGTATGAACATCAAAAAATGTATTTAATTCATTTATTCCTTGTTGTCCCTCTTGGTTTCAGCTCTGCCTGCTCCTTTGCACCTCCCTAAGGTCACATCTCCTGTTTTATTTTCCTCTGTGCTTCACTACCACTGTTGTGATACAATCTTCACGCCAGATGATCAGGCTGGAGATTAGAGTGAGCTGAAGTGTATCCAAATATTCCCTGTTTGTCTTCTCTCAGAGGAGAATCTCCTAAATATTTTGATAGCAAATCTTCAGGGGGAAAGACTCTGCTTGCCAGAGGAGTCCCCCAAGGAAGAAAACAAATAGAAAAGCAGGCACAGACATGTTTTTATAATTATTATTATTGTGTTGTTTTCACTCCATCAGTGTTTACAGACATTAAAAACCTGCAGCACTGAGGGAATTTTGATAATTGGCTGGAATTTTGCTGCACAGTGGCTGCATTCTCATAACCTCATTCATCAGATCAACAAATCTTCCCTTCCACTCTACTAGAAAAATTTGTGCACCCACAATTTCCTAAACCCCTTATAAAGCAGTGTTTCCTGGGAGGACAGGGACATTTGGTTTGCATTTGCTTTTCTGCCTCCTGCAAGCATCCATGGGGCTGGGATTTAAACTCTATGGCTCAGGGACCCTTGCTCAGCAGGATATTTTGGGAGGTGGGAGCCAAATGTGGTCTGTTTCTGCAGGAAAGGACACTCACGGCTGCTGCCCTTTAGAGCTGTCATTTCAAGGAGGTTGGTGGTGGGTCTCTGATTATTTTTCCTCCTTTTTGCAGGGAACGGGGAGCTGAGCAACAAGGAGTTTGTTGCCATCATGAAGCAGCGCCTGATGCGAGGCCTGGAGAAGCCCAAGGACATGGGCTTCACACGGCTCATGAGGGCCATGTGGAAATGTGCCCAGGAGACAGCGTGGGACTTCACAGCTCCCAAGCAGCAGTAGCAGGGTTGGGAAGGAGCACCCCCATTCCCTGGATCAGCCCATGGGCACAGCAGGGTGGCACCAGGCTCTGGAGAGGCTGTGCCAGGAGGATTTTGTCAATCCAAGTTAGAAATCCACGCCTGCTGTATTTGCTTGCTGCTGGCTCCTCCGTCTTCCTCTCTCTCAGGAACAAGGAAAGGACTTTTACTGCCACCCCCTCCGTGGCATGGTGTCCCCTGCTCCAGAGCTGGACCCCAAATCACCTTTATTTAACGCTATGAAAAAATGGCATGGGGGGTTCTTTTGATTCTCAGCCTGCTCCTGGGAAAAGCCAGGCAATTCCTGGATTTCAGCCAGCCAAAAGCTGCACCTGCTGCAGAAGGGCAGCTAAAAGCAGTGCAGCTCTCCTGCCCTTCCTGCCTTGCACCAGCATCCTGCAGCAGGAGCTCCCCAAGTGATTTCCTGAGTGGGGAATTGTCCCGGGGAGGGGCTGGCAGTGGTTTGTCCTCTGTAAAATACCATGTAAAGATGTTGCTCCCAGCAGCCTGGCTCTGTCTCTCCATTGCTCCACATGCTCCCCCAGGGCTGGGGCACTGAAGATGGGCTGTTCTGGGAGTGGGGGGGAAAGCCCTGTGACTTCCAGAGCTAGAAAGACCAAGGGGATCAATCACTCCTGGAATACTTTCTGCAGGGCTGGGGCACTGAAGATGGGCTGTTCTGGGAGTGGGGGGGAAAGCCCTGTGACTTCCAGAGCTAGAAAGACCAAGGGGATCAATCACTCCTGGAATGCTTCCTAGCACAGGAAGGACATGGAGCTGCTGGAGAGAGTCCAGAGGAAGCCACCAAGGTGATCACGGGGCTGGAGCATCTGTGCCATGAGGAAAGGCTGGGAGGGCTGGGATTGTTCAGCCTGGAGAGAAACTCCAGGGTGACCTCACTGTGGCCTTGCAGTGCCTGGAGGAGGTTACAGGAAACATGGAGAGGGAATATTGACAAAGGCCTGAAGTGCCAGGACAAGGGGGAATGGCTTCCCACTGCCAGAGAGCAGGAATGGATGGGATATTGGGAAGAAATCCTTCCCTGGGAGGGTGGGCAGGCCCTGGCACAGGGTGCCCAGAGCAGCTGTGGCTGCCCCTGGATCTCTGGCAGTGCCCAAGGCCAGGCTGGACAGGGCTTGGAGCAGCCTGGGATAGTGGAAGGTGTCCCTGCCCATAGGAATGCATGGGCTTTAAAGTCCCTTCCCACCCAAACCACTGTAGGATTCCGTGGTTCATGCAGGGATATTGATCCTGATCACTCCAGCCAGAGTTCTCCTCCTCTCCCCTCATTTCCCAGGCTCCTTCGGGGTGGTTGGGGTGTGGGTCCCTGTGCTGTCACACACCTCACACCCACAGAGCAAGGTGGGAGTGCAGGTTTGGCCCTTCCTGCCCCACTCTTCTTCCCTCTCTCCTGCCTGCTCCCCATGGCCAGCCTCCAGGGATCTGTCTGAATTCTCTTTTGGAATGAAGGTTGTTCCGACCATCCTCGCTGCGAGGGAATGTGAAACAATGTCACACAGCCCCGAACAGCCCCATCCCTCCTCAGCGTCTCCTTCAGCCCGTCCCGGGCACGGTCCCTGCAGCCAGGACCTTTCCAAGGACAGGAACTCCATGAGGAGGAGGAGGAGGAGGACTCGAACCTGAGAGAATTCCTCAAGGGCTTGTTCATAACCCTCCCCTTCCGAACCCCGTCCGAGCGCAGGATCCCGGGCTGCTCTCTGGCGTCCCCTCCCCATGTTGGGGGCCGGCTGGGGCCCCCCAGGTCTCGCTCTCCAGGGAATCCCCTCCCGTCTCCCCAAAATCCCGCTGCCTCCCCGGCCCCAAAAACCTCCTCCGGGCCCGCCCGCCTGAGGGCAGGGCTCGGTGACGTCATCCATCCGCGCCCGGCCCCGCCCCTCCGCCCCCCCGCCCGGCCGCCGCCGCCATGGAGTCGAACCGGGACGAGGCGGAGCGGTGCATTGGCATTGCGCTGGCCGCCGCCAAGGCCAACCAGCCCGACAAGGCCCGCCGCTTCCTGGAGAAGGCGCAGCGCTTGTACCCCTCGCAGCGGGTCCGCGGTGAGCGCCGGCCCGGGGGCGCGACGGGGGGCCCGGGGGAGCGCGGCCTGCGCGGCCGCCGCCGAGCCTGACCTCTCACCCTCAAGGCGCCTGCGCGTTGCGCGCGGGGCACGCCGGGAAAGCGAGTTCATCGGGGGTGCCGGGGCGTGTCCTGGGGTCTCGGGCTGCGGTACGGGCCGGGAGCGGGTACCGGTGGGCAGGGACCGGGTACCGATGACCGGCGGCGTCTGTCTTTAGCGGGGGCCCCCAGTGAGGAGGGTGCTGGGAAGGGAAGGGGGACCGGCTCCGCGCTGCTGAGGGACCCCTGAGCCGCGGGCACAACGCCCGCTGCTGCTGGAGAGCGCTGAGGGGAGGGAAGGAGCTCGGCAAGGCGAGGGAGAAGTTCTCGGGGGGCTTTGAAAAGGCCTTCTCCTCCTCCTATTGCTCCTTTCCTATTCCTCTACTCCTTCTATTCCTCCTCTTCTCCTCCTCCTGTTTGTCTCCTCCTTTTCTTCTCCTATCCCTCCTTTCCTATTCCTCCTCTCTTTCTCCTATTCCTTTCCTCCTGGTTCTGTCCCTCTCCTCCTTCTGTTCTTTTCCTCCTCCTCCTGTTCCTCTCCTCTTCCTGTTTTTCTCCTCCTCCTCTTATTCCTGTTCCTCTCCTCCTCCCATTCCTCCCCTCCCTCTCCTGTTCCTCTCCTCCCTGTTCCTGCATTCCCCCTCGTGTTCCTTCTCTCCTCCTGTTTCTCCTCGTCTCTTCCTCCTATCTGTTCTCTCCTCCTTTCCTCCTCCATTTCTCCTCCTCTCCTCTCGCTGTTCCTCCTGTTTCCATCGTGTTCCTGCTCTCCCTGTCCTGTTCCTGCTCCAGCAGTTGCCACTGTTTGCAGACAGACAGGCCATGGCTGAGCCCACGCTCTCACACGTGGAGCAAAACAATCCTCCAAGACTTTCTGCCAGATTTTCGTTTGTTTCCGTCATTTTCTGAAAGCATTAATTCATTTGGGAAGTGGTTTGTGAAAGCAGCCAAACTCAGTTCTTTCCCTGCATGTTCTTACATGGCAGAATGTTATGCACAGGGCTGAAAGTTTAATTTTTTTTTTTTTTCCTTTTTTTTTTTTGGCTTTGACCTCGTCCGAGTTTGGATTCTTTGGCTGAGCTTTGCAGCTTGTTTGCCCCAAGGCTTCCTGTAATCCTCTTTTTGGTTACACCAGGCCTCTTCCCTCTGCCTCAAACACAGTGTGTGCTGTGGTGTGGTTTTCCTCCCCTCCCTTTCCTCCGGAATTTATACTTTGGTGAAATTACTGGGTAGGAAAAGTGACTTTTGGAGGAGGGCAGAGCTGGGTGGAGGCAGCAGGGAGGGTTAATGTTAAACACAGCGTGCTGATTTGTGGCCAGACCCAACCAAGTTTCTCACCCAAGGACCCTTTGCTCCTTGTCCTCTGGCTCTGCAGTTGGGAAATGCTGCCAGAGATCCCACAGGGGTCCCTGAGCCTCTGAGGAGCTCCTGAGAAATCTCTTCCCCAGGAGTTCCCCAGGGTTTGGCAACACTCAGCAACCTGGCCTTGCTCAGCCAGTGCTGCAAACTCTGACCCTGGCTGGGCTTCCTGGGATCAGGGAAGAGTTTTGCAAGGGGATTGCAGCAAAAAATCTCCTGTGTCAGGGCACGTGGGCTGAGACACAGTCACACTGGTCACCTTTCTGTGGGAGTTGGGGAAAATGTATGGGAAGTTGGGCAAATGTTGGCTAATAAGGGAGGAAAAGTGCTCTGTGGCACATGCTGGGGGGGAACTGAGTTGGCAGAACTGAATTCTGCACTCTGCTTCAGTGGTCCATGAATTTGTGCTGTGCTGGGGCTGCAGAGGATGCAAAAAGCAGCAGATTTGGGGCTGTACAGCAAAATGGGACCGACCTGTGGGCAGCTCTGGGTTTCTGTGCTTGGGTTTGGGAAATGCACTGTCACAAGCAGGGGAGGGGGGGATTCTGCCCCTCTGCCCCTGGGCTCAGCTGAGACCCCACCTGCAGAGCTGCCCCAGCCCTGGGGCCAGCACAGGAGGGACCTGGAGCTGCTGGAGAGAGCCCAGGGGAGGCACCAGGATGGGCAGAGGCATGGAGCAGCTCTGCTGGGAGGAAAGGCTGGGACAGCTGGGGCTGTGAGAAGGGGGTGTGGAGACCTCACAGCTCCTTCCAGGGCCTGAAGGGGCTACAAGAAAATTTGAGAGGGATTTCATCGGGAACTGGAGGGCCAGGACAAGGGGGAATGGCTTCCCACTGCCAGAGGCAGGGATGGATGGGGTATTGGGAAGGAATTGTTCCCTGGCAGGGTGGGCAGGCCCTGGCACAGGGTGCCCAGTAGAGCTGTGGCTGCCCCTGGATCCCTGGCAGTGCCCAAGGCCAGGCTGGACAGGGCTTGATGCCACCTGGGATGGTGGAAGGTGTCCCTGCCATGGCAGGGGATAGGAATGGATGGGCTTTGAGATCTCTTCCAGCCCAAACTGTTCTGGGATCAAAATCTCCTGGTAAGCTTTAGGGAACTAAGGCCAAAGCAGCAGGAAGGGGAGTAGGTGGGGGAGCAACCTCATGAGGTGAAATTTTAAATCATCTGGCAGATTACTCCATGTTTGGGAGGAGCAAAACCAAAGACTGTAATTCAGTGAACACTGAAGCACTGGAAATATGAGGGAGGGAAGAATTTACTTTTCTAAAATAAATTAATTTTAAATTTGTGAATCCCCCAAGCCCAAAAGCTCATCCAGTGAGTTACTGCTCCTTAGCCCACTGTCCTTTGCATCCCTCATCCTCTATTGGCTTTTGGATTCCCGGGTGGATTTTTCTGCCCCCTCTGAGCACTGGAGCTAGATAGGATATCTTGGGTCATCTCTTGGCCTGCAAGTGTTGTTTGCACTTGCCTGAAGAAGGTGATACCCCATAGTGCAAGGTCTGTGGTGTGCAATCCATGGCAGGAGGTGGAACAGCCTTCCCAGTTCTAGGGTCTGGATAAAGGACTGCAAGCTCAGGATGCTGGGGCCTGTGTAAATACCCTGGGCTGGGTTTCATTGTAGCATGTGTGCCTGTTCTTTTGGATGGGGGTGAAGAAATCAGTCTGATGCTTGGTTTAAAAAGATGGTGCTGTGCAGCTGCCAGGGAAATGCACGATGCAAGGATGCTTGGAGTCTCCCTCTGTTGTGTCACCTGGGTGGTTAGGCCAGGCCTGCGTGGTTAGACAGTGCCTGAGCCTTGCAAGGAGGAAAAGGGAAGGTGAATTGATCCCCCCAGTAACTGGGAGGGAGGATGGGTTCCACAGCTGCTCCCAAGCCGTAGGTAGCGACAGAAGAACAAAGCGCCCGTGTGAGGAGCTGGCAGCCAACAGTGCTGCAGCTCTGTCCCCAAAAGGGGAGTGTCCCCATGGGATTGGCAGCCCACAGAATTATTTTCTAAGCTCTCTAAAGATATGGCATCGTCACATCACTTCCCCAGCACTGTAGGCTCTCAAAAGCAGGAGATAAAAGAGGAATAATACACTTTATCATGTGCTGGAGGACAAATTTGGACATGCTTTGCTGTTGAGGAGAGATGGAAGGGAAACAAGGACAGGGATACACTGCTTTGCTGATCTGCTGTGGCTCCTGGACTGTCTGTCTGGGTGGTCCTGGGGTTTTTATGGAGGTTGTGTGTGCTGGGAGAAGCAGAATATCTTCAGGAGTGGCCCTCACACCTGAGTGAGAAGCAACAGGAGCTGAAAGATTACGTGGGAGGAAAGGTGAGGGTCTTCCTGGGGAAGTGTGGGGGAGGTCTTGGGAGGGTGGCAGAGATGAAGAGAAATCTCTTCATGGGAGAGCTGGAAGGGCAGGTTGATCTTGGTGCTTTCTTCTCTATGTTTTTGTTTCTCTCATTTCAGTTCTGCTTGAGTCACTCAACAAGAACGAGCAGTCGGCCAATGGCCAATCCCAGCCCAGGGAACCCACAAAGCCTCAGTTCAGGAAAATGAGTGGAGACTTCCCATCAGCCAATGGAGAGGCTGGGGGGGAGGCCCCCAAGGGCTACACTCAGGACCAGCTGGATGCGGTGAAGAGGTTTGTGCACAGCTCTCTGGGGCATTTGTTTGACTTTATCACATGGTACCCGTCTGCTTTTCACAGTATTTTAAAGATTTCAGCTTTGAACCATATGGAATAGTGTTAAGACCAGGCCCAGGAGGATTTATAGCTCCAGCAGCCCTGGTAGGCAGCTGCCTTTGGTCTGCTCATTTTCCAAACCCTATTTCAAGCTTCCCTTTGTTCCTTTTTCCCATTTGCCCATCCTGGAAGCTGAAGGACTGAACTGCAGGTGCAGTCACTTGGTAAACTTTGTTTAAGGTTATGGGCACGGCCTGAATTGTGCAAGAACCACTTCAAGGGACTTGCAGGAATGTTTGTTACGTCATCCATTTCTCCAAAAACCCAGCCTGCTGGATTCTGTCTCATCATGTGAGAAGCAGAAGCCTTGGCTGGGCTGAGTGTGCCCAGGAGGAATGGGCTGCACACCCTGGGCTTCTCCCTCCTTCCTTCTCTGGAATTCAGCTGATGCAAGTTTTACATCTGGGAATTAGCTGAGGAGAGAGTGAGGGAGGGGAAAGGCCATTATCCTTCAGGTGCTGTAGTCCTTCCCAAACAGCCTCCAACACATGAACATGATGAATGTGAAGTTTATTTGCCAATCACATTCCTGTGTGGGTCTGAGGAGAGGCCCTTCCTCCTCCACTGGCCCGACTCGTTCTGTGCTGGGTCACCCTCTGAGGAGCAGGGGCTGAGTAATCCAGAGATCCCTGAGCAACATCCATGGAAACTGCTGCCTGAAAACTCTCAGAGCTGACAAGTGTTCAAGACAAAGAGGTTTTTACTCCTGGCACTGAATGTTTGCCCCCCTCTCCCCTGGCAGGGTAAAGCAGTGCAAAGATTACTACGAAATTCTGGGAGTCAACAGAGAAGCTTCAGATGAGGACCTGAAAAAGGCCTACAGGAAACTGGCCCTGAAGTTCCACCCAGACAAGAACCACGCACCAGGGGCCACGGAGGCATTCAAAGGTAAAGCCAGCTCCAGATTTGTGGTTTGCCCCCAACTCTCACTGAGAGAACCCTTAAAAACAACCCCACGAAATAAAGCGGCTCTTTGTGAAGCTGTCTCCCTTCAGAGCTGGTCATGTCATGACCAAAGTATGAGCTTAAAATAATAAACACAGGTTGGCATGGTAGGATTCAGCCTTGTTGGCTGGGTTGAGGAGAAGCCTTCCTGCTCTTTCTCCCAGCAGCCCTTCCCTGTGTGTTGCTCCAAGCTCCTGCCTCACTGCTCGGGAGGGAATTCTGTCAGGATTAACCCAGTTAACTTGTGCAGCTCCAGGGGCAGACACAGGGCTCACAAACCACTCAGGAGAAACATTCCAGGAAACACCCAACCATTGGTGGATGGAATCGGTGAATAGAAACCCCAAGCAGAAGTTTCTAGAGTGGAACTGCAGCAGCCATACAAGTGAGCCCAGCCAGAACTCAGAAAAGGAGCTCTAGTTCTGCTGCAAAGAGCCCAGTTCTCAGAGCCTCTCTATAAATGCAGCAGGGATGTTTCCTGGGTAATAAAATACCTTAAAATTGGAGTAATTTTCCAAGAGAGATGCTATTGCTTGGAACATATAATCCTATTTTCTCCTGCAAGCTGTGGAAGTTTGATTATTTTCATTGAGCTAAACACAGAACTCCTTGGTGCCAGTCGTACAGCACTGGTTTGGAAGCCATTAAAATATTCTGGCCACTTTTTAGAAAGAAATTCTTTACTCAAGACAGTGCTAAGGCTCTGGCACAGGCTGCCCAGAGAAGCTCTGGCTGCCCCATCCCTGGAAGTTTTCTGGGCCAGGTTAGACAGGGCTTGGAGCAACCTGGGATATGGGAAGGTGTCCCTGTCCATGGCAGGGGGTGGGTCTTTAAGGCACCTTCCACCCCAAAGCAGCCTGATTTTGGGAGTGAAATGTGTGAGACCTTTGCTGGAGCAGGGAGCAGGGCTGGCCTGATGTCAGTGTACAGGTACAGTATTCAGGTGAGCTCCTCACAGACGCAAATTCAGCAGTAAAAGTCTTAGGTAAGGTTTGTTCAAGCCTTTGAAGACTTAAATCCTTCCCTGATAAGTGTTAGCAAATAGTGACTGACCCCCAGCTACTTGGGAGAGCCTGTGCTGGTGTGGGGGGCAGATGAAAGGGCATCTGCACGCAGCTATCAGCTCTGCCTGCGCAGAGCTGCTGCTCCACAGCTCATCCTTGGATCCCTCAGTGACCAAAGGCAGGTTTCCTCACCTGTAATCTTGAATAATGATGTTTGCCCAAGGCTTTGGCAGGAGTTACGTGCCAGAAGTGGAGCGTTAAGCAAAGTGCCCTTTATCCCCCGCTGCGGCGTTATCTACTCCGGGCCTTGCCTCCATGGCTTCCTGTCCTTCAGCCCCTGAGCTGAGCTGAAGTCCACCTGCTTGGTTCCAGGGGGTGAAGGGGGAAACGTGCCCTGCTGTGAGGATATGAGTTAATTTTTCCTTATGTTGATGTATTAGCTGAAGTCTTGGCATTCGCCTTCTCAGTGACCGCTGATAAGGTGCTGTGCTGAGCCCGTGTCCCAGTGTACAGTTCCAGCTGGCTGCAGGCTGTCTCGTGGCAGATCTGCATCACTACCTGTCTGCTCCTGGAAAAAGCCTTGAGCCTGGCTGCTTGGACTAAAATCCTGCTTTGGAACGAGGCATTTCTTGGGCTTTGTCAGTACAAAGTCAGCAAACAAACCCTGAGCCGCTCCGTTGCCGTTGTTTCCCTTGTTCTTTCCAGCTGTGTGGTTGATACACTCTGAGTCAGTCCTTGTCCACCAGCTTCCCTGCCTGGCTCTAGAAAGGTTTGCTCTGGGGGCACTAATTATAACCAAGAAGGAGAAGGAGTGTATTGACATTACATCCTCTGCCCTCCAAATCTCCACTCCAAAAATAAACTGTACACCTCCATCTGACCATGGGGAAAATGTCGAATCTTGAAGCTGATCTCCAAATGGGCACGTTATCCCCCTTTTCTCCCTCTTCCATCCCTTCTGCCCCTGCCTTTTACACACCAGGCAGCTGCTGCCATGGCCATTTTGGGCCCTTGCGATGCAGGGAGGCCTGGGGTGGCTTGGTACAGCGGGCAGTGGGAAGCTGGAATGTGTGGAGAGGTGAATACAGAAATAGGAGGGTGGCAGGCAGACATTCTAGGAAAAGGGCTCAGCCTCCTGAGGCTGGAAGGAGAGGGACCCAGGGACCTGGCAGGGGTTTAGTTCCAGTACATTCCAGCTTCACAGGCACTGGTTAACAGTCCTTGTAATTATGCACCTTGCATGTGGCATCTGGAAGTGCTAAACTCTTAGCTGATGGATGCAACTTCTGGCTAATGTTTCCTTAGCAGCTTTTTTATGGAAAGTTTTAAAGTCCCTTTCAGGGATTTAGCCCGTATTTAAATTCTTTGCAGTTCTAGTTGCAGGCTCTGACAATTCCCTTAATGCCACTTTTGAATAAAATTTGTCAGCTAAAATCTGATTTCCCTACACAGCTGAAGGGTTTCTCTGGGGACATGCACCAAGTCCTTATCAGTCATATCACAACTGATATCATATCACAACATTTGAATTAATTAAGGAATTTTTCACTGAGTGTGGTTTTCCTCGTGCCTGGATTTGCCCGAGCCGCGTGCCAGGTACCCGTTGCAAAGACGTGGGTAGCCAAATCCCTTACTTTGTCCGATGAGAAAGGCAAATGCTGGCAGTTTGCAGGGTGCAGGTGGGAGGAAGGAGCTAACGCTTCCTGCTTGTCCGTGTGGCAGCCATCGGGAACGCGTACGCCGTGCTCAGCAACCCCGAGAAGAGGAAGCAGTACGACCAGTTCGGGGACGAGAAACTCAACCCCGCCCGCCACGGCCACAGCCACGCCGACTTCCACCGCGGCTTCGAGGCCGACATCTCCCCCGAGGACCTCTTCAACATGTTCTTTGGGGGTGGCTTTCCTTCTAGTAAGCACCTTAAATCTGCTTTTCTTGTGTCCTTCGGGGTTCTTTAGGCTGCGCTGGGTTTGGTGAGGGGGAGTTCTCCTTCACGAGTGGCCGAAACGCCTCGAGTTTATTAAAGGGTTCATCGTTGGAGAGCACAGCAACCATCAGAGCTGGACTTCTTCCCAGCCTCAGGTGTTTGTTTGCATGCTGGCAACATCAGCTGCTGTTAGGTTGGGTTGAATGCTAGAACAAAAAGTGACTTGTTTTAAGGGTTGTTGTGAAAATAATCCTGTTTTAAGGAAGGCTTTTCTGCCTGGTGGTTTTGGAATTTAAATGTTCTTATCAGAGCAAACTGTGGTAACACCTGGGCCTTGTTCTTGATCTCTGTCTGCTCCACCACACAGCTAGAACAGGTTCCCAAGATCGGTGGCCACTTCCTTCTCTCCCCTGTGTCCCATAAAAAAAAGGAAATTAGTATTTATATAGCATAATTTAGACCTTGTGAATTGAAAAATAAATCTGTGTCCTGTCTGTCCACAGTGCTGATCATGGCTTGGGGAGCAGGAAAGAATCAGTTGCTTTACTTGCTCAAAAGACACAGAGTCCATGTCAGGAGAAGGGTATTCTGGAAGACTCCTTTGTATTTGTTCCAGTCATATCTGACTGGAAGTGGACATGGGGCTTCTTGACCTCCGTGGGCCAACTTGAAAAAAAAAATTTGGTTTCAGTTAAGAAAATTCACTCTGGTAGCTCTTTCCTGTCTGGAGTCTAAGCACTAACACCCCAACACCAGTGGCTCAAAAGCATCTGGAAGCCTTTTGCAGCATTTGTGCTCTGCCTGGCACAGAGGCCAAGAAGCTAGTAGTGCAAAAACAGCATGTTGCTATTTTAGCTCAGTCTCTTTTTCCCTTTCCTCGCTGTCCCGAGAGAATTGAGGGCTGCTCTCTCAGCCTGGCTCCCTTTGCAGCTGTAGCTTTGACATTTAAAACAAGACATGGAAGAGCTTTGTTTGCAGGGTGGGAAAAACCCCAGAATTATTTCAGTTTGTGACTGGTTTTAATCTTTTCATCAGAATGGAGAAGGCCTGTGCAGGGTATTCTCTCTCTGTAGCTGACCCTGCTTTGGGCAGGAATTTGAACTTCCTGAGGTCACTTCCAAGCTGAGTTTTCATATGATCCTGCAAAATCCTACAGAAGGAACTCTGTGCCCACTCTGCACTCAAACCACCTCAGGAATACCCTGTTTCAGCCTGTAAGCAGGTGAAACATGGATCATGGCCACCTTTTGTGGTCCCTCCCTGGCCAGGGAGCAGCACTCTCCGCACTGTGACTTTGGAGTAAGAGTTTTCTTCTTCCTTCAGGTAATGTGCACGTGTACAGCAATGGCAGGATGAGGTACACCTACCACCAGAGGCAGGACAGGCGGGAGCACCAGGGGGATGTAAGTGGAAAACACCTGGGATCTGGGAGGCTGGAGGTTTTCCCAGCACATCATTGGGTGCTGGTTCCTGTGCCTGGCTTGTGAAACAGTCCTGCTTGTTGCCACCCTCCCAAACAGAAAGCTGGAGTCAGGGTTATTGTGGCTGTTGCCTGGGCAGAGCCAGTTTTATTGTAAAAAAACAAGCAAGAACTTCCTGAATATTTTTCTCTCAAGCTTAAAGGTGGAACTGAAGGGAGCTCAGGAGGTGAGGGAGAGGGAGAGTTACCTTCATCTATCCAGCACTGAAAAGGGGAGAAGGCCATGCATAAAACCAGTCCTGCTCACTAGTTTGCTGTAGGAAAACAAACTGTGGGCATGAGGCTTTTGGAATTCCCTCCCGGGGCTCCCCATGGCAGTCCCCTCTGCTCATTGTCACATCCAGAGAAGGGCCCGGGGGTTTGGACCTTCAGAGTCACACTGTCCTGTGGTTCCCCCCAGCTATTTTGGGTTACTCCCTGTGAAAAGCAGGAGAGAGGAGATTTTGGAGCACTGGGAAGGAAGGAGGGAGGGAGAGCAGTGCCGTGGGATCGTTGTCCTGCTGTATGGGTGGCACTCCACTGTGTGTTTGTGTTCCCTCAGGGCGGCCTGGGGCTGTTTGTCCAGCTGATGCCCATCCTCATCCTGATCATCGTGTCAGCTCTCAGCCAGATGATGGTCTCCAGCCCACCCTACAGTTTGAGCCACAGGCTGTTAGTACCCATTCCTCTAAAACTTATCCACTTGGGGAGGGGGTGGGCTCTGGAAGGGTGTGGTGGGCCAGGGATCTTGCCTCTGTTCTTCCTTTGGGTTTCTTTGCTTTATTTCCTGACCCCATTGCTCCTGCTGCCAGTGAAGTCTTTGTGGTTCTCAGGTGTGAGATACAAGGTGCAGGGAAAATTGGAGGGTGCTCAGTTCCCTGATGGAGAGAGTTCCTTGCCAGGGACCTTCTGCAGTCCATACCCACAGCTGTGTCTGTCTTGGAAAGGGACAGACAAAATGGTCTGGGGAGGCTGCAGCACAGCACTGAAATCTCATATGGAACAAATTGAGGTGTAGAGTGTGAAAAACAAAAGCCATGTTCTCCATGAAAGCTTGGTACCACACCGTAGAGGAAGAGGATAAGGAGTAAAAGACACTCCCAGAGAAATCCCCCGTTTCTGAACTCTCATCTTGCCATGAAATAGCTTTGGCCAGACATTTAGGATGTGAAAGTGAAACTGCTGTTCTAGATCCTGTGGAAATGCCCCGATCTGCTCCCTCCAGTGACTAATGGAACGTGTCCTCATTCTTAGTCACTTTGCAGTGCTAACAAAGAGTGGGAAAACAGGCTTGATTTCTGTCTGCTTGCATCATTCTTGGCAAAGGCTTAATGCATGTTCCGTGTGAGTTCTTACGTGCATTTAGAGAGGGCAGACCTGGTTGCAGCCTGGTGTTCCTGCCTATCTTCACAGGTAGCAATGTTTGCCATTGATCATAGAATCCCAGAAGGCTTTGGATTGGAAGGGACCTTAAAATGATCTTGTTCCACCCTCTGCCATGGCCATGGACACCTCCCACTAGACCAGGGTTCTCCAAGCCCCGACTAACCTGGCCTTGAGCAATTCCAGGGGAGGGGCATGATGTTAAATACTATAAAACTCAGCTTAGCTTTCAGATTTAAAGACTGTAACACTGGTCCTTGGGACCAAAACATGGGATGGTTTTGGCACAGTTAAGGGTTATTCTGAGAGGGTGAAGGCTTTTGAGCTGTGATTTCCACAGCTGGCATTAGTGTTGTAAAACTAAGCATTACACACATTCACCAGTTTGCTTTATCCTAGTGAAGTTTGTGGGGTGAGAAGACACAGAAGGGAGGGAGCATTTAAATGGGCAGGGATTTGCTTCCAGCCTTGCCAGCTGCAGAGGAAGCCATCCCTGAGCCCCAGATGTTTCTCTGCTGCCCCATTCCCTGTTCCCTGTGCTGTCCCTGTCTCTGTGTGCTCAGGTAGAAACAAGCAACCCAATTTCCAAGCCTGGATTTGGACAAGGGTGGGAAGTGAGCTCATCCAGCGCTGCCACGGCCTCCCCGAGCAGCCAGGCTGTTTGAGCTGGGATGAGGAGGTGCAGGGCCGGCAGGAGGAGCTGCTGCATCACTCACTGCCAGCTCCTCTGCCGGGAGGGAAGGGAAAGCTGTGCCTCAGCTCAGCGAGAAGGGCAGCAGAAGCTTTGAACCCACAGATTTAAATGCCACTCCTCCATAGTGAAGTGTCACTGAGGAGGGCAAAGTGCTAAAAAACCACTGTTACCTTTGTAAATCTCTTCCAAAAAGGATCTTCCTGCTGGAAGAGCTGCCTGGCTGTGGGTCTGATTGTTACTGTTCCGTAACACCTCGTGGAATTGGCCTGACTTAATTGCATGTCTGACTGCAGGTGACAGGTTTCCTGTGCCCTGATTTTCATGCTTCACACCCTGATGTGTTGCTGCAGCCCTGCCATTCCCAGTCCTTCTCCTGTGAGGGCACACTCTGTAGTCCATCTTTATTCAGGAGAGGGATATGAGCTTTGGGAGAGCTCAGGGCTCTGTCTTGAGAGAGAAAATAGTGAACTTGGCTTTTTCCAGGCTGCACCTCTGCCTTGAGAAATCCCAGCAGAGCTCTGTGCTCCTGTTCAGTCCATTGAGTTACCCAGCACTGGGCCTTGGTGAAACGTGCAGGAGTCTTGGGATCCCACCCGTGTGCTCTGATAACAGACTGAAGGGTGAGCTATAAACATGAGTTCATGTTTATAGCTGGCTTAAGAATCAGGCTGGCTCTCAGTGCAGCAGCAGCAGCTGGTATTTATTACAGGGAACTTCTGGCACGTCTCCAGGTGGAGCCGTTCCTGGTTAATTCAGCATTTGGGTCCAGCTCCTGTGTTACAGCTCACACACACACCCTAGGGAGGATCTCTAGGTTTGCTGGGGTGTCAGGGGAAGCAAGAGCAGGGCTTTGTCTGAAATTCAAATCCACAGGGCCAGGGGAGGAAGAGATTTCCTTCTTGAAAGTGCTTTCTGTGCTGGTTGGTACAGGCTGGGGCACGGAGCGGGTCGCATCTTGCAAATGGAAGAAATCACAGATTTAATAATTTATTGGAAATTCCAGGGAAAGTTTTATTTTAAGTGGATTTAGGCCCTGGGCAAAGTGTCTTGGAGTTATGCCTGTATTCAGAGCTCTGCCTACCTTGCTCGAGGCCTGGCAGCTTCTCTCTCCCTGTGTTGCTGGTTGGTTTCCACCAGAAATGCTGCTGCCTTCTACCCTCCAAGCCGGTGGCTGGATAGGGGTGAGAGATGTTTCCTGCTGTTTGGAATCACATCACCCGAGCTGGGGGCTTTGCTGTGCCCTTGAAACATGTCCCACACTGTTGTGCTCTTGTCTCTGCACCAGGTCTGTGGGTCACACACACAGGAGGGTCACAGAGCACTTGAAAGTCCCCTACTACGTGTCCGAGAACTTTGCTGAGGAATACACGGGCACGAACCTGAAGAACGTGGAGCGGAGCGTGGAGGACGACTACATAGCAAACCTTCGGAACAACTGCTGGAGAGAGAAGCAGCAGAGTGAGTACTGAGGGGTCAGGAGCTGCTCCATGGGGTGCCTTTGGAAAGGTCTTTGACTGAGGACTAAGTCGTGCTAAGTTATACTTTAACACGGTGCCAGCACATTTCCTGTGTTGTTGGCTTTGTTTTTTCCAGTCTATGACTTCATGACAGGCCCGGTATGTGGGGGTTTTTTGTTTTGTTTTGCTTTTTAATGCTGCTGCAGAACTGGTCAGACAGGAGCTGTGCCCCAGAGGTTCCCCTGCCGTGTCAGCAGGATACCTCTGATTTCCAGTGGAGGGGGAAGGTAGAACCTCTGGGATCCCTGCTAGCCCTGTGTAACGTTTCAGTTGGTCAAGGACCGTGCTGGAAAGTCTGCTGCCCATGGTGTCATGCCCACATCCCACCCCTGCTGCAGGGGCTGCCCAGGCAGATGATCCAGGAGATATCCTGGTGGCAGAGAGTGAGGGCAGCGAGTCCAGGGGCAACCTGTGTGCTCTGGCTGCTGTGATGGTCACGGCTCTGGGAGCAGTGGCCGGGGTAGGATTTCAGCTCTGGAATGCCGCAGGGGCTGTGATCATCCCTGGGCGGTGCCAAAGGCACAGAGCCCTGCTGGGTAACCTTTGTGAGGGCTGCACAGGCACCTCCTGGGAGCAGAGCCGGGTTCCCCTGGCTTTTCCTGGGATGGATGAGCTGTCAGCAGCTCTTACGCCCATCCTGTCCTGAAGGGCGCGGGGCATTTCCTCATCCTCATCCTTTGCTTCACCTTGGACAGCTGGAGGTGCCTCCCGTTCCCAGCAGAGCCGGTGGGGGAGCAGGGCCTGGCAGGGGAGTCTCTTCCAGAGGGCATTCCTGACTCTGAGCTTTTCCCTTTGCAGAGGAAGGCTTGTTGTACCGGGCACGCTACTTCGGGGACTCGGAACTGTACCAGCGGGCACAGAAGATGGGCACCCCCAGCTGTAGCAGACTGTCAGACGTCCAGGCCTCCCTGCACGGATAGTCCCAGCCCAAGTACGAGCCGGGAGCAGGGAACCCTAGTGCTTTTATCACTGAAATCCCTGATTGAGACACAGCCCTCCAGGAGTCTCCTCGGGGTGCACGCGTGCAGCCTCCCCTCCGACGGCGCTCCCTCGTTAATCAGGAATTGATTGGGTTTAGTTTGCATGTCGGCACCCTCGGCTCTCTCCAGGCTCCCTGTTTTCTCTGGCCTCTAGGAACAGGGCAGAATCCCTTGGTGAGGTTGGAGGTTTCTTAGGTGCTGTGGCATCCAGCCCCCACATTTTAAGGAGCCTTTGGTTTGGGTTGCTTTGTTGTCTGTTTTGCTGGGAAAGCTGCTATCCCTGGCACATGAAGCAGCCTGGTGACAGGGAATGGAGTCCCACCCAACAGATGTTCCTTGTCCCCCCTCCCGTTGCCTTCCCACTCAAAGAGAACAAAGCGAATGTTCCCAGCAGGTTGTAGAAGTAACTTACTGGGTTAAACTGGCAATCAAAGTAAAAGCAGCTGGGGGGGAGGTCTGGAAGATTTGGGGGTTGGAGAGCTTGGATTAAGGAGAGCCCAGATAACACATGAGACCGGACATGCTGGGAGAACTGCACCAAAATAATGGAAAAAATTGCCACAGGGTTTGGAGTCCTTTTTCTACAAAAATTTTTGGCCTGATTTTGCCTACCAGGTACTGCTGGGCTGCCTATGAAATGTGCAGATCCCACTACCCCAAAATTATCTGAGCACAGGATTTCTATAGAAAAACTCCTGGGTGAAGCTTGTTCCAGGTGTTGTATGGACACCGTTCCGGCTCACAGGGACTCCTTGAGGATGTTGGCCGTTGAGCTGCTTGATTTGCACTTTTGGGGGTTGTTTTCCTCGGCATCTGAAAGTTTGGCCTTTAAAGCAAATCCTCTGGGGCACATTGGGCTTTTTTTTTGGGTGTATCCTGGTTTTGGATCCATTCTTACCTCGATCCTCCCGCTCTCTCGTTTGGATGACTGCGCCTCTTCTGGTGTTAATTACCTGCTTTTCTTTAATTCCCTCCCTGCACCCGTGGTCTGGAAAGAGCCTGGAAAAGCTGCTGCCTGTGCTGTGGGGTGGGGAAGCAAGGGGGAGTCACAGATTGGCCGGAGTCTGACACCGCTGCTGCTTTGTTCCCAGAGCGTTGAAACGCCTGAAGACTTTGGGGAAGTGCACTGAGCCGAGGTGGCAACTTTGCTATTTAAAAAAGAATCAAACCTTATCTTAAAAATGGAATTGGAGAATTAGCAACGCACAACTGCCCCTCTTTCTTCTCTCTGCCTCTCTGAGGATCGCAGGCAGCGCTTGGGACAGGAAATCCAGCTCTCTGTCTTCCTCCTCCCCTTCCAACACCACTGGCATGCTCCCAGGATCCCACAAGGATCCCACAAGGATCCCACAGCCCCTGGAACAGACACACAGAGTGTAAAATAACCCAAACTAACTACAGAAGCCGTGAAGCAGAAGGAGACCCTTCGCCGCTGCTGATGGAGAGAGAAGTGGGATTTTGTTGATAAAGGAAGACACTAAAGAAAAAGAAAATATAATCTATTTAGCATTAATTTATAGCTGTATATATGTTGTACTTTTAAACTATGCAGGGGTTGAATGATTAAATTATTCTGGTTTCTGCCCATTTTGGGGAGCAGGGCAGCAGGAAGCCTCTTCCCAGGGTGTCTCTGTCCGCAGCACTTTCCTGCCTGGAACGCAGGAATCCCTTTGCAGTTGCTGTCCTTTGCTCCTGAGAGGACATCCTGTGGATGGGGACAGCCATACACCTGCTCTTGGGTTCTGATAAAACCAAATCCTGGACGTGCAGGGCGTCACAGAGAGAGGGGAGCCCGTCCAGAGCCGTGGATTTGCAGCGTCGGCCGGAGCCGCGGGGTCAGCTGAGCGCCGGCGTGGCGCTCGCCGTGGGAAGGATTGTCCCGGATGGATTTTGCTCGTCAGTCTTTGGTTAATTTGTGCATGTAACTCCTTTTTCTGCCGAGTCCGCTCGAATTCTGCCTGGTAATCAGCGTGCTCCGTGCAGAGAGGGCTTTCCAACAGCCCTTTGTTGGGAGGTTTTGTGCTCGGGTTCCTCCCCCCCGGGCACCCACCGGCGCTCCCGGGTGCAGCCTGGCCCTGGCCTTCACACCCCATCCCGTGTTTCCTGCAGGACACCTGGAAAATGCCACAAATCCATAAGGAACAAAGTATTCTCTTGGAAGAAGTTCTGCTGGGGGAGATCAGGGGGTGTGTGATCTGCCCTGTGCCTGCCCTGAGGCTGCTCCGGGTGAGGAGCCATCTCTTGGAAGCAAAGCCAGCACGAGCAGAGCCACCTCCCATGGAATAAACTGGATTATTTAATTTTTTTTTCTTCGCTCATTTGTGTCTAAAGACATTTCCAGTGAAAACCATCCCCTGGCATAGTCAGGGCGGTGAACTGGGAGCACGGCAGCTCCTGGGTGGGCTGGCAGAGGTGGTTTTATCCCGTTGTCCTTAGGAATCCATGCGCTCTGTCTTGGCTGTTTATTTATTTTGTGAAATCTCAGCCTCCCGTTGGCTGCAGGCCCTGTTATCCCACAGCCACCACGGCTTGGACCTGATTTTAAGGGGTTTTATTATTTCTTTTTTTTTTAATGGTTCCTCCACCTTCAGAAGAAATTGGGTGGAAGTTCAGGATTGGAAATGGCGCTCGATAGAGGCACAGGGATGATGGGGACGGGGTTAAACCAAAATCCTGCTCACAGAAGGAGCTGGATGTGTTGCCCAGTGGCATTCCCTGGCCAGAGCCTGCCTGCCAAAACCTTCAGGTTATTTTTCCTGGTAGATACCCATGGATCATAAGGAGGGAGAAGGCATCGATCCCAGTGGATGCTCACAGAGGCTGTATCTCTCGATTTAGAGTTAATTATACAATTGTACATCTATAAATAAATGTTTATAATGTGAAAGGCTCCAGCTGGGTTGGTGTGCTGTGGATCCCTGCTCCAGCCAGCTCTGGTTTTGCAGCTCCTCGGCGCGGGATGGAATTTGGGGATGGCTGAGAACTCTGGTGCTGTGGGGGCTGCCCTGAGGTGGCAGAGGGAAGGACAGGGAGGGGATGGAGAGGACGTGGTGCCCCTGGCAAGGTGGCAGCACCCAGCAGGACACCTTTGCTTCAGACCCATTCTGCTGGGATGTGCCCAGAAGGGCCTTCCTGCCATTAGCCCCACATCCTCTGGCTGAGCCTTGTTCTCATCCTGGGATGCCACTGGCCTGGCAGCATCATCCTGGCACTGGAAGGTGCCCTGTGGGCAAGATCCCCATCAGGTGGGCAGGAAGACTCGGGCTGCCTTTGTTTTGGGTGGAGACACTGCCTTGGGTGCCCTCCCTGCTGGCAGTGGCTTGGAAACTGCCAGCTGCTGGCCCCAAAGCCTCGGGGGTGGATTTGGGAGGGTCTCTTTTCCTCCCCAGGCCCATGCACCAAAGTGCTGGAAGCTTTAGGTGGGGAATTTCCCCTTTCCCCCCCCCCCCCCCCCCCCCCCCCCCCCCCCGCTTCTCTCAGAGGGCAAGAGTGGGAATTTCTCCCCTTTCCCTTTTTTTCCCTCCTGAGAGGCCAAGGGTCACCTCCCTGCCACTTCCCCTCTGGCAGTGAGTCAGCCCTGCCGGCACAGGGCACATCCACAGCCCAGGTTTTGGGGTGGTTTTGCTGCATTTTGGGTCATTCCCAGCCCGGAGCAATGGGAGACACTCTTGAATTTCAGGGTGTGCTGGTCCCTGCCCACTCGCCAAAGGTGTGGGTGGTTTGAGCTGCCCATTAGGTCGTTAGCCCAAGCTTTTAATTGGAGCAGCTGCCAAAGGCAGGGAGGCATCAAAGGAAGGCAGGTGCTCCAGGAACATCCTCCTTTGGCAGGCAGGGAGCCCAGTGGACCCCTCTTCCCCCCATCATTGTTTCTGGTAGCAAAAACATGAGGGTTCAGCACCATCCTGGGATTTAAACCGTCATTTGAATTATTGCTGCTGATGTCCCCAAAAATCTGCCTTTTCTCTGCTGGCACCTGGGATCCCTGGGCTGATGCTGGTGCCACAAATAGCCCAACTCTTCCCAGGTCCCAAAATATCCCTTTGCGTAACCCCCTGCCTTGGGAGACATCTGATCCAGCCTCGCTGGAAGCTTCTGCATCTTCCGTGGAGCTGCCAAACCCCAGGGACCTTGAGACACCCCCGATTTTCTCGCGGAAAGGCCATTTTGCTATAAATAAAAGCAAAGTTTCACCTTCACAGCTGGGGCTGTGACTGGGGCGTGACCGGGTGCTCCCACACGGAAGGTTTTGCTGGGCACCCCCAGGACAGAGGCTGTGCCATCGCTCTGTGTTGGCTTTGGGGAGTTTTGGTGGAGGTTTCTTTTTGTTTTCTTGGTGTGATCATTTAAAAAACAATTGGATGCGGAGCCCCTCACCTTCCCTGAGAGTGACTGGTGGCGGGGACGAGCAGGGGTCACGCTGCTGCTGGCAGCACAGGGCCACCCCTTCAGGAGTTGGATATTTTAAAATCCACGTATTTCTGGAGCTGTAAATAGCACTGCCAGAGTCGGGATGCCTCGGCAGGGCTGGCGGTGCTGCCGTCACCGTAAATCTCCTGCGGGATCAAGGCGCTGCTTCCAGCCCGGGCTGCCCCGGGAACTCGGGCTTTGGAGTTCCCTTTCCACCCCTCTCAGTGTCTGCAGGGGTGGGTTTGTGCTGGATGACCCCACAGGGGATGCCCTAGCATGTGATCCTTTGAGAAATGCTCCAAACCCCAAAATTTTAGGGGCAATCCTCCCTCTTTGCACACGTGTGTGTGTGTAAAGGTGCATTTCCAGCTGTGTGAGCCTGGCACTGCTTGTTGCCCTGACTGCTGCCAGGTGATATTTACCAGGTGAGCAAAACTCCAGATCTGGGTCATTCATGTCAAAAACAAGGTTTTTATGGTGAAAATTCTCATCAAAAAGTCACTGTTTGTCTGTCCACAGTGATAGTTTGTCCACAGGGGTATTAAAAAAAAAATAAAGAAGCCAAGGCTGAGCCAGAAGGAGCTCACGCGTGAATGGAAATGGCTTTTCAGGCTGGTTTTATCCCCCTACACCTTCCACGAGCTTCTTCTTTGCCAAGCAGCTTAATTATCCTTGAGTGAAAGCCTCTTCCCCGAGGCCTCTAATTGCAGGTTTGGTTAATTGGCCTCAGTGTTGCAGAGTGTGTTTGGGGCTGGGCCGTGCTCCCCCCGATAGGTGTGACCCTCCTCCTCCTCCTCCTCAGTCCCAGTCTGAGCCCGTCCTGGGCTCTGTGCCCCGGTTCCCCGTGGTGGCTGCCCGGGGAGGAGCAGCAGCCCCTCGCTGGGCTCAGGGGCCTGACTCAGCCCCCCTGAGTCACAGCCCCGTGGCTCCCATTAGGAGTGGGTGCCGTGGGATTCCCCACCATTCCCAAAACATCCAGCTCCCACCGCAGGGGCTGCCCTGCCAGGGAAAGGCTTCCCGAGAGTGCCAGCAGGGAATTTCAAACCAATGGTTGCATCATCCCTCCCCCAGCAGAGGTGACAACAGGGAGAAGGCGGCTTATCAATCAAGACAAGTTTTATTAGAAAAGTAAAAAACCACCCGACGCGATTGCATAGGAATTCTCGCACTTGAACATCAAGTGTATGAGTGTAAACTGTAACCAACGAAGTGCCCCCAGTGTGTCAGGGCCAGGGGTCCCGCCCTCCGGCCCCTCTCCTGATCAAAGACACAATTCCAGCCGGGCTTGGCCTTTGATCCAGACCCCCTCGGCCGCCGCTCACTGCCACACTCCCCCTCCCCCGAGACCCCATTGATTACAATCCCGGTTTACAAAAACCCCCCACGATTGATCAGGAGCCCGGCGCCCCCCCAGCAGCCCCGCTGCCGCCTCCGGGAGCGCGGTGGCCGGGATCATCCCACAGTCATCCACGGCGTGAAGCGACCTCCGCCCGGCTGCACGCCAGCGACGGCCCGGCACGGGCAGGCCCCACGGGGACTCGGCCTGCCCCAACTACTTCCACCTACAGCCCTACTCCAGCCTAACCTAAACTACCGCGGCTGCCGGGAGCCGCCACGCTCCGCCCGGCTCTTCCGAAGCACTTGGCAAGTGGCTCCTCCGGCCCGGCCCCTCAGCACTCCTCGATGAGCAGCTGCTCGGAGCTGTACAGCTTCTTCTTCATCACCCTGAAGCCCGTGCTCAGCTTCAGCGGAGCGAAGGCCGGCCCCGAGGCGAAGAGTCCCTGGATCTTGGGCCACAGGCGGGAGTCCAGGCGCAGCACCAGGGTGAGCTGGAAGGTTGGCACCACGGCGGGGTCGGCGGCGATGTGCCCCACGTCGTGGCAGGCCTTGCCGTGCTCCACGCACAGGTCCAGGAGGGCCCCGCGCAGCCCGCAGGGTTCGCTGCACGCCAGGCGCAGCAGCTCCGTCCGCACCTGCGCCTGCAGCTGCGCCGGCATCAGGAGCCGCGAGCAGCGCTTGGCGCCCAGCGGGGCCCGGCCCAGCGCCGCCTGCACCACGTCCAGCAGGCTGGCGCACAGCAGCTCGTCCTCGGGGTCGTGCAGCAGCTCCAGGTCCATGTCAGGCAGGGAGACACCCTCGGCGTACTCGGCATCTGCGGAGGGGACAGAGGCGGGTCAGCGCCGGCGTACCAGGGGCGTGGGAGACACCGATCCCAGGGATTCAGGGGTGTGCCGGGGGTTCTGGGACACACCGCTCCAGGGGTCTGGGGGCGCTAACAGGGGTTCGGCACAGCAGCACCACCCCCTCCGCCCAGGGACTCTCATCCATCCTCCTGCCCTTGAGGGACCCGCACTCACCTCCCTCCGAGCCGGAGGCGCTGCCCAGGGACTCGCAGTCGGAGGTCTCCAGGCGGCCCCGCTCGCCGCCCGCCAGCCGCTCCCACAGCCCGGGCATGGCTCCGGACACAGCGCACCCCGCTCGGCCCGGCTCCGCCGCCGCTCTACCCGCACCGCCCGCGCCCCACCCTTATATAGCCGCGGCACGGCGGGCCACGCCCCCCCACCCCGCGTCCGCCAATGGAAGCGCGGGGCACGTCCGCGGCGTCTCTCCTGCCCGGTGACAGCGGGCAGGCCACGCCCCCTGCTTGGGCCACGCCCCCCGGCGGCCGGCGCGGCCCCGGGCGCTGCAAACGGGAGCCGCGGTTGCGTCAGGGCCGGCCCGGGCTCCCGGGGCTGCCCCGGCCCCGCACCCCGGCCCGCACGGCACCCCCGGGCACCCCCCAGCGCCCGGGCTCACCCCCGCACCCCGGGGCCAGCCCATCGCTCGGGCACACGCATCACGTTCCGGTGGGGAAGGGGACAGCGGCCGTGTCCCCGCGGTCCCCGAACCCTCCGGGGGCCGGGAAACCCACGATGGTTCCCCTGTGGTTACTGGGGTTTGATCCACCTCGTCTTCCAGGGGCTGTTTGCGCGGTGGCACCGGCGCGGCCGGATGCTGCCGCCCTGGCACGGGATGGCGCTGAGCCCGCAGCCCCGCTCCGGGACAAACCCCGCCGTGGTCCCGGTGTCCCGCTCGCTGGCCTTGTCCCGCTTCCTTAAGGCAAGAAGGGATGGTGGAGTGAAACTTGTTGGAGGTCAAGGGGTGCGGGGGCAGGACACTGCCAGGCTGGGATGGGGCTCTGTCAGTGCCAGGCTGCGGTATCCCCATCTGCCATCCCTGGTGTCCCTAAATGTGGGATGGGGCTCTGTCAGTGCCAGGCTGCCGTAACCCCATCTGGTGTCCCTAAATGTGGGAGGGGGCTCTGTCAGTGCCAGGCTGCCGTAACCCCATCTGGTGTCCCTAAATGTGGGAGGGGGCTCTGTCAGTGCCAGGCTGCCGTAACCCCATCTGGTGTCCCTAAATGTGGGAGGGGGCTCTGTCAGTGCCAGGCTGCCGTAACCCCATCTGGTGTCCCTAAATGTGGGAGGGGGCTCTGTCAGTGCCAGGCTGCCGTAACCCCATCTGGTGTCCCTAAATGTGGGAGGGGGCTCTGTCAGTGCCAGGCTGCCGTAACCCCATCTGGTGTCCCTAAATGTGGGAGGGGGCTCTGTCAGTGCCAGGCTGCCGTAACCCCATCTGGTGTCCCTAAATGTGGGAGGGGGCTCTGTCAGTGCCAGGCTGCCGTAACCCCATCTGGTGTCCCTAAATGTGGGAGGGGGCTCTGTCAGTGCCAGGCTGCCGTAACCCCATCTGGTGTCCCTAAATGTGGGAGGGGGCTCTGTCAGTGCCAGGCTGCCGTAACCCCATCTGCCATCCCTGGTGTCCCCTAAAGCCGGGCCGGGACACGCTCGGTCCCCGCGGTGGCAGTGTCCCCCTCGGGCCCTGGTGCCGGTCCCGCGTACGTGACCTTTCCAAAGGCAGACCCCGAGGAGCGCAGGGAGCCCAGCCGGAGATAAAGGGCTTTGTTTGTCCTCCCGCTGCGCTGCCTGCGGCTTTATCGGGGGGGCTGAGCACTCTCTGCAGCCACGCCGGGACCTATCCTGGCTCCTGTCCTTCCCGAGCCCGGAGGGATAAGAGCCCGGCGATAAACACGGGGCACGGGTCCCCCTGCCACTGCCTGTGACCTGCCACCCAAAGCGGGCAGAAAGGGGTCTGGGCACCCCACCGGCAGCTGCAGCTGCTTTTTAGGGGTCAAAGCTTGAATCCATCTGCATTTTGGGCGTGGAAGTCCGGGCTGGGGGAGTGGGTAGCATCCCAGGGAGCAGACGAGAGGTGTGGGGAGCTGGGAACAAGTCCTGGCTTGTGCCTGCAGCTTGCAGAGATACTCCTTTGGTTTTTGGGACAAAAAATTAACAATCCCCCAACCCCCAGCTGTTAAAAATACACCCCAATATTTGCACACTCAGCGGGATGGTGCTTGGGATCCTGTTTTTCACAAAATGTATCTCGTGGGTTATTTCTTCCCACAGCCACCAAGTCATTGGTAAGAACGTCGGCTGGGTGAGGCTGAAAATAGATGAGGATCTGCTGGTTTGGGGGGTCGAAACAGGGGGGAAGCAGCAAATAAACAAAAAAGAGGTAAAGGACCACAGGGAAGGCGCCTTGCTAAAAATAAGCTGGAATTCTAGAGCCAAGCATAAATATTTTTCTTTCTTTGCCATAACATCTCCTGGTAGGCAGCAGAGCAAGCAGCTCTGGTGTGATGGCAAGTTTTAAAGGGAAATGCAATTTTTGATCCCTGCAATAAAATAATCCAGCTGGGAGGGGAGGCAATGTGGGGCTGGCAGCTCCTTCTGCTTCCCAAAAGAAGCTGAGATCCAGGCCACTCCTCTGCAGCAGGGCCTCTAGGAATAGTTTTGGGCTGGAAAGCAAAGTTTTAGTGTTGGTAATCCCTGCACTTCCCCTCCCCTGGTCCTGCTGCTGGCAGTAAACCCAGCGTGGTTTCTGTGGAGCAGCAGCGTGTCTTTCCCCCTGACCTGCTGTCCTTTCTGGGAGAGCAGAGATTGAGGCTTTCTGGACAGGCTGTTCCCAGCCAGCTGTGCCTGTCCCCGTCTGGGATGGGATTTACTCCATCCTTCTGATTTCCAGCCTGGCTTCGCAAAGGGTTAAGCAGGAGCCGGGGGGAGCGGCTGGCATTGGGGAGGGTCCTTGGCTGGGCCCCTGCCCGTGATGTGCTGAGCTCAGCGCTTTTGCAGCCTGCAGGGGGAGGGGGCTGGGAACAAGGAGGAGGAGGAAGAGGAGGAGGAAGGGAGGAGATGTACTGAGGGGCTCAGCGAGTGCTCTGGCTCACGTCGGGTGCAAACTGTGCCCCTGTACAGTGGGGAGCAAACTCCTGCCCCATGGGCTGCTGCTGTGGAGGAGTCCCTGGTTTCATGTTTTTGTCCCAGCAGCTCCGTAGCCCAAAAAGTTGCTCTTAGGTAAATTTACACATTGGGCTGGCACAGACACCGCTGGGCTCCTTTGTGTCCAAGTAACAGAGGGGCTGAGGCCATGTTTTTTTCTGTGCCCTAAGTGCCTGGCGGGGTGGGTGTCCTTCACACCGGGTCCCCGGTTGTGGCTGGGGGTGACAGGCACACAGGGGTGACCCTGCATCTCCCGAGCCCGTGGCCAGCTCCGACAGGTGAGCTTTGGCTGCGTGGGACGCGGTGGCAGGTCCCGGCGTGCCGCTGGCAGGGCAGGTCTGTGCCACAGCCAAACCTTGCGGGCCCGTCTCTCGCCCCTGGGACAAGCAGCTGCAGGAGCGGGGCGGAGGAAGCAGGAACGTGCATCCACGAGGGTGCCGGACAGGTTTTGGCAGCGGCGATGCCGAGCGCCGGGTTGAGCGCCGGGTCGGCAGCGTGTCGCTCGCAGGGTGTGGGCCGTGAAACTCGTCTCGCCTTGGGTGCTTCTGGGGGGAAAGATGGCAGAGGGTGTTTCTGGGGGTGCTGCCCCACACTGCTGCATCCTGGATGCCGGGAGAGGCCCTCCCCGGCGGGCAGCCTGCCCGGGCAGCGAGGCGAGCGCGTGCCTTGGCGCCGTGGCCGGCGCTGGGGCCGTGGCCAGCGGCGAGGAGCCGGGGAGGGGAGGTGTGAGCGGGGCTTGTGCCGGTACATAACGTTCTGCCGCGAGCACCCACAGGAAAACCAACAGCAGCTCTGAACGAGGCTCTTTGTTCGGCTCTTTTTTTTATTTTCCCTCCCCTCCCCTCATCAACTTTTTCTGGCAGCTGCCGGGCTCCCTCCCCGCTGCGCTCCGCGCCCAGCTGAACGGCCCCCCGAGCTCCCGGGCCGAGGGGGACGTGGGGCTTCCACACCCCAAGGAGAAATATCCACCGCTGGCGCAGCCCCACTGATCTGCAAAGCAGGAAATAGGTTGGTTTGGGAATTTCCAGCTGCCAGGGAAAACCTGGGTTTGGAGGAGGGCGAGCGTGGAAGGTTTTCGCCCGTACGGATCCCTCCAGTTCTCCCTGCCTTACATAAAGTGTTTACTGAGCGGGAGGAGGGAATGGCCAACAACATGTTTTTGCGTTCGTAGTACTGTACAGGGTGAACTTTTCACTTCCTCTCAATGGCTCTCACACATGTGTCTATTTTGGTGCTGGGCACACATACAAACACACCATGTACAGCACGGAGCTGGGGACGTTCCCTGCTCCTGCTCTGTCCCAGCACAAGAAACTGCTGGAAAACAAGCAATGGGAGGAGGGCGAGGGGGATAAATCTCAGCCCCGCTGTGTTCTGGATCTGGATGGGGAAGTCCGGGCAATGCTTGGGCACTGCATCCCCTGGGCAGAGCTGCAGGCGCCGAGCCCCTGGCATCCCAGGAGAGCTGGCAGGGTGGAAAAATTTCCCAAGTTGAGCAGTGAAAAGGAAAAGCTCTTTCTGTGGCTGATTGTGCTGGGTCAGCGAGCAGGGGTTACCGGGTGCGAGTGAGGGAGTTTGGGGGATCTACTGCTCCGTTCCCAAACCCCACAATGATACGGGGTGAGGATTTTTGGCAGGTTTGGCCGAGGTGGACGTAGATGGCTGGAGTGAGCAGGATTAAAAATAGATGCCACCAAGCAAACAAAAAAGTGGAGGGCTGAAGCGCTCCCTTCTTTCTCGAGCAAGCCCATCTGGGCTGCAGTTTGAATCCCGCCTGCCGTCACGTTTGGAGCGCTCCTGGCCGCGGAGCCGCTGACTGTGCAGGAGGCCCCCGCAGAGCAGGGCCTGGCAGCCCTCCAAGGCTGGGGAGGAGGTTTTCCGGGCTGGGGCCGTGGCCGGGGCGGCCAGCGTGGGACAGTCTCAGCTGAGCTGCAGCCCTACGTGAGAACGGCCCTGCGCCGCTCCGGCAGCCGCGCGGTGAATTTCCACGGGGCTGGAATTGCCGCTTCACCTGCGGCTCAGGCAGCGTGGGGCTCTGGATGGCCCACAGCTGACTCTGGCACTGGAACTGATTTATTCACAGCAACAAACACAGAAGGTGGCTGTATACTTTTTCCCCTCAGTTTTAGCTAATTGCTGGTGATCTAAAATGGGAATGGATCCCAGTTAATCTGTTTCAATGCAGATGTGGCTGGGCTGAAAAAGTGAGTAAAAAATACAATAATGTCGTAAGAAAGATGTTGAAAATGGAAAAATTAGGCATCTGGAGCAATAAATCAAATAATTGCTTGCATACGGTGCTGCTCCTACCCCCTGCTGGCCAGCAGAGCCATAGGGCGAAGGCTCTCATCCATGGAAAATCAACATGTTGAAATGATTATGCCAGAACATGGAAATCCAGTTCCCTCCAAGAACAGAAGTGAAGTACAACCGAAAAACAAGATGATTAAAATGGATGGGTTTAAACCAGGGTCTTCTCCTCTGCCTGAGTTAAAGCAGGATTAAAATCTGACTTAAATCCAGCCCCTTTTGAGCATGGTTTGGTTCCTCTCACATTGAACTTCAGACTACCATCATGACAGTCGATCTGCCTCTGAGCTTCACTACACCCCCTTAACTCCTAAAACAGCTGATTCTTTCCCTCATCAGACCAGATAAAGAGTTTCAAAGACAGAGTTATTTTATTGTCACAGAGAAATCTAATACAGAACAAAGAGGACAAAGTTTCAGGGTAATAAAAGACAGAGCAGTATCCTGCCAGTGCTACCACAGAAACAGTGATGAAGAGGGAACAGCCTGGGCAATGGCCGAGGCACTGCTGGAGGAGGTGACGCCGCTTGGCCCCTCACCCAACCCTGGGACAGTTTGTGTCCATCCCCCAGAACCACGGCAGGGGCTGAGGAGTGCTTCTGGCATTTGCTCCAGAGGGTTTCCCCGCTCACCCAGTGCTCCGGCTGCGCTCCAGCGGGAACCCGGGCCGAGTGACGAGGTCGCCCTCCCCACAGCCACACTGTCCGTGTGCCCCCCTCTGTAAACAACACAGAGATGATCCAGGGGCTGTACAGCTGATCCTGCCTTCGAAGTTACAGAAACCAAGCCCTGCCAGCCTGTAAGGACCTACAGAATCTCATCATTTCCATTTATTGGCAGCTTTACGGGGGATCCCCACTCTCAAAAAAACCCAAAGCCCCATCCTGCCGATGCAGCTGTCAGCATTTGATAAATGGGGGGGTGTTTTGAAGCCGGGCCAGGGAACGTTTTTCTTCTGCTCCCTGACAGCAGCAATCCAGACACGCTCAGCCTGAGGAAGGAGTGAATCCCAGGAGCTGCTCTATTGGCTTGTACCTCCACTCATCTGCCTCCAGCTCTTCCACCAGACCAGCAAGTTTTTCCATCCTTGCGACTTGTTGATCTGCGAGGAGTTCAAAGGTAACTGTGGTTTGCAATGGCAGTGCAATTAAACCTTTCAATTAGATGCAAATTCCCAGCTGTCAGTAGGGAGCAGGGCAGAATAAAACCCACGGAGCTCATTTGAATTCAAACCCACTGTGTGCAAACAGCGAGGAGAAAGCAGGGACAGGCTTTTCTGCCCCACAGTGTGTTTACCCATCCCTGCCCGTGCCATGTACATTCAAGTCCTAACAAGGAAACATCAGGCCCATTAGTGTAGGGGGTGAAAACAGGATGCAGCTCATTTCATAAAGTATAAATATTTATAGTGCAGAAGAACAGAGAAGTTCAGAGAGGGCTTGGTCAGCCCACGGTAGAGCTGGGTGCAGCAGGAGGAACTGTGCTTTTGATGAAGGTCCTTGGAGGAGGACCTGGATGAGTGTGGCAGAGAGGCTCTGCAAGCAGAGCCTGCTAATGAGAGGAAGGTCCCCAGACAACATCTTCCTCTCAGGTTTATTTATAACCAGTCGTGTGTCGGGCACACAGGGTCCATTTTCAGTTAGATGTGCTGCAGTGGTGCAGAGATGGGAACATCCCTTCTCCCAGCTCTGCTGGAAGTCTAACAGCGCTGTAAGCTCACTGCAGCCTCTTGGATAGACGGCCCAGGGCTAGCAAGAGGCGTAACATAAACTGTGTGTGATTTATGCTGACTCCAGCAGTGGCTGCTTTAAGAGGGACTGTTCTCACTCCACCTCCTGCACCCTTTTGGGAACTGTCAAACAAACAAGCCAAAAAATGATGACCTCAATCTTTTTTTTTTAAGCCCTCCACCTTTCTTACAGGGAGAAAACAGGGAGGTGCTCCACACTTCCAAAGGCTGGTGTCTATTGGGGTGCCAGGCTGTGTAGCAGCCCCTGGCAGCTACAGCCACAGCAGAGCTCTGGAAACAATGGCTCTGGAGTTCAGCTTTGCTTTCTGGTGCAGAAACACAGGATCATGGCCTTGCAAGCTGCTGCACACCCCCCCAACCGGAGGAGGACAGGAAGCCTCTCCACTCAGAGACAACAGGTGGAAGTACCACTCTGGCTGACAAGAGGCGGGGACCAGAAAGGATGTGACCCTCAAGCAGCAGACAGGATCTGCTGCTGGGCTCTGTGAGAACCAAAGCTGTGACGCAGCCGAGCCCGTGGCTGGGTCACAGGCACCTGGGTGAGGGCAAAGAGGCTGGCAGGGAAGCAGAGGTTCAAACAGGACGTCAGGCTGTTCCCTGGGGAGGCAGGGAGTGTACTCAGCCCTGTCACGCCACGCCACGCCACGCCACGCCACGCCACGCGTGGCCGCCTCCCGAGTGACTCTGGAAACCTCACCTGACCCTGCCGGGGCCACAAGGGCTCAGCAGAGAAACAAAGGTGGAATGGAGCGTCCCTCCGCCCCAGGCCAGAGAGACAGTCAGCGCTGGGCCGAGATCAGAGCGTGGGCGTTTCCTGCCCAGAACCTCCTCCTCCCGCCTGCCTCACCTTGTGCTGCCACACAGCCATGGAAAAACAAGCTTCGGGAGGCACAGCCCGTTCCCACCCCGCCTCTGTGGGCTCCCAGCGCTTTGCACAGGGCTTGCAAAAGGACTCAGTGGTGGCCTGACTTAGTGTTCACTTTGCTTTCTTGTGGCTGACACCCCAGAGCGGGTCAGGCTTTGCCCCCGCCGCCTTCCCCGAGCCACACGCGGCCGGCGCTTACCGTGCTTCACTTGCTTTAATGTTGATGCAACCTGAAAGCTGAACACAGACTCGCAGAGGAACCTCTCAGAGCCATCTGTCAACAGAAAAAGGAGATGGATGAACCCCAGAGTTTGAGGCTGAGCAGCCTTCAGTGCCCCTGACCTGCTGTTTTTATGTTTGAGGTGGGGGGTCACCCGTGCCTCGTTAAGGCACTTTCCCCTGTGCTGACTGCAGCCCCTGTGACCCTGCACAGGGCTTTGGCCGGTTCCTGATGCTGCCTGGGAAGACATCCCAGGTGGAATTCTGTTACATCCTCTCTGACAAGCCATTTTAGAAGTCCAAATAGAAGTTAAGCTAAGGAGAAGCCAGGTAATGTTATGGCAGTCTCTGATTCCCTCAGGGCTCAGACGCTCGTGTCCTTAGAATGCTTTAGGATTTCCCATGGGCTCAGACCACAACCCTACACAGTTTCAAATAATGTGTATCTTGCCATCCAAGTCAGTAATTGATCGTGCAAGTGACTCTGAAGTAAAGCAATCTAGAAAACACAGCTAATTGTGTACCAAGCACTGACATAGTTTATACTGCCTCCTTCTAAAAAACCCCAAAAATACCTACGGGTTTATTTAGAAACAAGCGAGATCACAAAAGCAGCAATAAAAATCAGTCAGTCAGTGGGAATTTTTGAAGAGGAAACTGCAGCTTCTCCACTGGCAGCTGCCTGGTGAAAGAATGAGTGTCTCACCTTTGGTGTCAGAAATTCAAAAGCCAACCCAGAGCTTCCTGCAACAGGGACAGTGTTTGGTTGTTGCTGCCACCCAGAGCAGGCAAACTGCTGTGTTCCTGGTAAAGAGGTCAGCCCAAAGCACAATCCATTTAAAGCTCTGTGCCATAACAATGTGGAGAGCAGTTTCAAAGAAAAAAGTCTGGAAAAATCTAATCCAAAGCTGAACCCCAGGGAAGAGCTGGAGTTTCACTGTGCTCAGAGGGCACTCTTACAAGTGCTGCCCCAAATACATCGTGGAGACATCAGCAAGAATTTTTTCACGGAAAAACACTGGAAGGGGTTGTGCAGGTAGGTGGTGGAGTCACTGTCCCTGGAGGTGTGCAAGGAACAACTGGATGTGGCACTCAGTGCTCTGGTGCTGTTGAGAAGGTGGGGATTGGTCACAGGCTGGACTCGATGGTCTTGGAGGCCTTTTCCAACCCAAATGTTGGATTCCCTCCTCCGACTCCCTGTCTGTCCTGCCGAGTGGCTCTCAGGAGGAACAGCTGCCTGTCTATTTGCTAACACGAAGTGCTTCATTACTTTAATTTGTTTTGAGGGCTCGTTAAGTTCTGTGAGCAAACCTTTAGTCATAATTACTTCAATAGCCTGGCATATGGGCTCTAATGTGTAATAAAAACAACCCTTCAACGACACAGCCATCTCCCAGCTGCCCTGTGCTGCCGTAGGGACACTCCAGCCTCGCTCCCAGCCATCCCACAGTGACAAGGGAAGTTCAAGGGGAGCAGACACAGAGACACTGGTTTAACCCTGTCACCCGGAGAACCTGCCCTTCCTCCCTCACCCAGAGCTTGTTGGGCTTTTCCTTCCACGATGCAAGCTGGCAGGGACTAACCCAGTCAAATCCAACCCAAACCAAGAAAATTACTACTTCTGCCAAGAAAAATATTCCTGTCTCAGCTATCCTCAGAGCAATCCCTGCCTGACATCAAAGGATTAGCTAACAATGAGCAATTAACACACTCATGTTCCCTTTCAGGTAGATGCTTCCTGGTCTGAAGTGTTGTCATGGAGACAAAAAGCAGGTGACCGCCAGAAAAATCACTTCCTCCTGAACGACTGGTGGGAAAGCCAGGACCGACCAAACCCCGGTGCTTCCTTTCTACCTCCAGCTTTTGCCAGTGGGGTGCGAAGTTCAGCAGCTGGAGGAGGAGCAGGGAAGGAGAAGGACAGCAGCAATCACCTTCCAGCATCTCGCCGGCTCCTTTGGGATAAGTGAAGAGGGCTTTCCGGGGCGGCGCCAGGTCCGAAACGCTGAACCCCGACCCTGTCACGGAGCTGCCGCTGACTCCACCGGCCGAGGAGGATGAGGAGGAGGCTGCCATCGCACCCCGGCCCAGCTGGGAGGACAAAGCAGAGCCTCAGTTAGGAAGGGCGCCTCGGAGTTCCCAGCGGCCACACTGGGAGGGGGATGGAGGCATCCCGAGGAGGGATGGAGGCAGTGAGGGGCAGGATGAAGCCGCCCCCGCTGCCCCACAGCGTCCAGGCTGCCCTGTGTGTGTGGCAGAGCTGCCTGTGCCCACTGTGGGGACGGGCACAGAGCTGTCACTCCCCGAAACTGAAGGTAACCCCCGCTCTGACCCCTCGGAATTCCCCTGGGAATTCATCCAGAGCGTGCACAAGAATAACGAGGTGCAGCTTGCTGGCCTGAACTCACCGGCCTTTAGCTGCCCTGGCGCTTGTCCTGCTCCCCAGGGCCATGAAAGGTGGAGTTTCTTTCCTTTTTCCCTCCTTGTTTCCAGGAGCACAAACACAGAAGCGCTGCTGCCTCATAAAACCTGGAAGGCTGCGGGACTGCCAGTCCCAGCTCCGCATCCTGCCGGGAGCCGCGCCGTGCCGAAGCTGCGGCAGCTGCTTTCTGCATCAGCCCAGACGTGATTCTGCCTTTAAAACACCGCATTTGAGTGGAACTGGCAGTGCCTCAGGATCCGTCTGCCTGTGCAGCACAATTCCAGCTGCCTCTTGCACGCTCTCTTCTCAGCCTTGTTTTTAAGAGGTACTGGGTTTGTCACGACACGGGAATTAGAACTCCTCGTGTCCCTCTCTGATAGCACAAAAGGTGTCACTTGGCCCTTAGCAGTGACAGCACTTGCTGCTCCTCCAAACACTTATAAGCACTTCCAAATTATACTGCCCATTTCATTCATTTCTGTTATCGTGTTTAGTACACTTCTGCAGGTTCTGTAGCGTACACAGACAGTGTCCTTGGAAAACATGTGAGGTTTTTTTGGAGAAAATGGGGTTTTAAGACCTTAAAGCTCAGCTCATTCCACCCCCTGCCATGGCAGGGACACCTTCCACCATCCCAGGCTGCTCCAAGCCCCATCCAGCCTGGCCTTGGGCACTGCCAGGGCACAGTCACAGCTCCTCTGGGCATCCTATGCCAGAGGCTCACAGGGAATAATTTCTTCCCAATATCCCACCCAACCCTGCCCTCTGTCAGTGGGAAAGCCGTTCCCTTTGTCCAGTCCCTCTGTCTCTTGTTACTAAGTTTCCCAAGAGCACTCAAGATTACTGTGTGCCACTCAGAAAACAGCAGCTCACAGGAGGCTGGGGGCTTACGGGCCGTGACGAAAAACGCCTGCATAAAACAAACTTTTATTTTTGCTACGCTACACCCAGCAACGCCTCCCTCAGCAAACCCTCAGGCTCGGCTCCCTGCTCACAAGGGAGGCGCGACGATCGTTTGCGCTGAAACGATGCCAGCCGGGGCTCGCAGACCCGACAGATTCCTAAGTGTGGCTGCAGGGGGTTTATTTTAAACAAACACAGCGGAGAGGAGGCGGCAGGTCAGGGCCATGCCCGGGCCTGTTGCAGGAACCTCCAGCCAAGGCCTCAGGCACCTCAGCAGCCGCCATCTTGGCTGGGGCGGGGCCCCCACGAGACCACGCCCCCAATGCGCTCATGGACACGCCCCCACACAGGCCACGCCTCCTCCCCGGTCCTCCCGCCCATGGGCCCTCGGAGCCGCTTCCCGGTGAGTGCGGAGCCCACGCGCCGCCGCAGCCTCTGCCCTCCCCGCGCGGTCATGCCGTCGCCCTTCACCTTCCGGGCCTCCGCCGCCTCCCGGCGCTCCCCGGTCCCGTGCCGAACGCTCTCTCCTTCAGCTGGGAGCCCGGACGGCGGCTTGGTGCGGGCGGCGCGCGTGGCCGCGCTCGCGGTGCATGATGGGGCGGGGCGCGCGCCACTTCCGGTGGGACGCGTGTGGGGAGGGGAGGGAGAGGGAACAAAATGGCGGCGGCAGTGGTGGGGGGAGCGGGGAGGCTTTGCTGCTCCCGCCGCCTTCCCGCAGCGCTGTCACAGTAAAGCCGAAGGGTGCTGTGGCTGCAGTGCCCTCGGCGCCCCGGGAATTTGCGCGGTGCGGGCCCTGCCGGTGCCCCTGCCTGGAGTCGGTTCCCGCGGAGCCCCTGTGGATGCTGCCGTCAGGAGGCGGATCCTGCAGCCCCAGCTGCGCTCTGCCTGCCGCTGTTGCTGCTCGCTTCTCAGAAGTCCTTGTGTCAAGAAACTGTGACACCAGTGTGTTAAAAACAAACCCCCCCTCCAAAAAAAAAAAAAAACACCTTCGTGGAAGTAAAAGCCGCAGCGACTGATTTTGCATGGCTTTTCCCGTCATTGTGCACAGCTGACCTCTGCACCTCTTCCCATGAGCCACAGGAATTATTACTTTTATTGAAGTGTAATGGTTTTTATTATCCGTGTGAGTTCAGATGACTGTGAGTCATTTTAAAAGGTGGGGCTCGAACTGAGGGGAGAAGCATTAACCTTCTCAACCTGATGTCACTCTCTGTGATAAAAGCTAGTTGCTCCTGAGGAAAGCTCCCAATTTTTTCCTCTTCTGTTGGCAGTGGACAGGTGAACTTTCTGACAAAGGTGAATTTTTTGGTGGAAACTTTATTTTCTGAGTAACAGTTTCTGGTTTAAAATTGAGACAACCAATATTAAATGACCCATGCCAGTGAATATAGAAATTCACGTGCTGGAGATGTGAAGTCTCTGACAGAACACTGCTGGCTCTTTGTTTTAGCACCAGTAAATGTTCTCCACTCTAAACATTTTAAACTCAGTGCCAGCTAAAGCCCCAAGAAACTATGAAAAGTCACACTGACCGAGGTTACAGTGACTTTTAGTAAGTTTCAGAGTTACACAGCTTACACTGCTTCAATTTCCTCTTTCCACTTGATTGTGCTTCACGTACTTGTGACTTCTCACCAGATTGGTCTTTGATTGAGACACGTAAGGTTTGAGGAGGTGTTGCCTTTCTGAAGACTCCACATGGAGGGGCTTTTAGCTCGGGGTGGGGAGGTTGAGACTGAATATTGGGAAGAAATTGTTTTTCTATGAGGGTGGCAAGGCCCTGGCACAGGTTGCTCACAGAAGCTGTGGCTGCCCCTGGGATAGTGGAACCACGGCAGGGCATTGGAATGAGCTGGGCTTTAATGTCCCTGCCAGCCCAGTGTGCAAGGAAGCACTGAAATGAGCTTTTCCTTGGCCTGGGGTAGCACAGCTGTCCTTGTTGTTGCAGTAGGAGGAGGAGCAGGATGGATGTGCTGCGGCCCCCCTTGGTAAGGATCGGGGGAAGAGTGTACCGGAAAAACCTCATCCAAGAGCAGGTCTTCCCTCACGAGGAGGAGGAGGAGAGCTTCTATTCAGGTAAGGAGTGATGCTCAGGAGGTGTACACATCAACACTGGGGACCTAGGGAGCTCTCAGAGTCATCTCTGGTGCCTTTGTGGGCACAGAGACCTGCCCATGTGGCGGACTGAGGTGTTCAAGAGGGAGAAAAAGGCTTTGTGTTGGTCCCTGATGATCCTGCTGCCCAAAGTGGAAGCAGTTCCAGTTATCCCAAGTGGGTTGGCTGACTGTGCTGCTGACTGTTCAGTTTGCCTGCTGACTGTGGAAGAACTCCAGGAAAAGGGAAAACCTGATGAGCTGTGTAGATCTGTTTTTCCCAGGTTTCTTTCTTTTCATTACCATCTTTAGCTGCAGATATGGCAGCTGCTTGCTAAAGACCCTCTGTCCTTGCAATGTTTGTGCCTTTAAACCTGGCCTTTTGGGGACAAAATTCTTGCTCTCCTGGAGTGTTTGCCTGTGTCTTTCTGCCTTCTGTGTTTGCTGTAGTTGTGTGTGAGTTGTTGTGGGCACAGAAAAGCTCCAGTGTTACTTTTCAGATGGGAATGTGGCAGTTGTGTCCTGTTCCTCCTCCCACCCTGCCTTTCAGTGGATTGTACTGAGCTTTAACCAGGTGCTTTCCATTCGAATTCATCCCTGCTTGTGTTGGAAAGGGAATAGGAAGCATGGATTCTTTCAGGGTGTTTTATTTGATCCATGCATGACTGAACAGCCTGCGGATGAAAGGTGCATCTCTTTCTAAACCACTGGCTTGAACCCTCAGACCAAAACTATCCTCACCTTTTATCTGTCTTCTTCTGCAGCCTTAAATTTCTGAACTGGCTGCCAGAAGAGGCCATTCCCACTGTGAGGGAATTGCACAAAGTCCAGCTGAGAAAAACCTGGGCTGTAACTACCTGCTTCCCGTGCCTCCCAGCCGGCCGGATTTAGAAGCTGTCATTACATGTTCCGCAGCCGGTTAGTGAGGTGATAAATAAAAAGCAGTTATCCACAGCAGAGAGAAGCCCATTCCTTCCTTCATTTAACCTTGAAAGAAGGCTGGTGGGGAGGCTGTTTTCCTCCATAAAGCAGTGCCAGACTTCACAGAGGCTGTGCAGGGCCTGACGTGGTTTTCCCGGTAGGCCCCGGTGACTGCGCGGACGAGCCCTGCGATGCCTTCGTGGTGGAGGAGACCGAGCGAGGCTTCCAGTGCCGGCTGGAGGTTCCCAGCCCCTTGTACAAGTGAGCCTGTCTGCTTTGGTTTGTTTGGTTTGCAGCCAGCTGGGGAAGAAGTTGAGCACAGAATGTTCATTTTCGGAGGTTGGGGTGGCTGCTGGATGTCTGGGGTGCGCTGCGGGTTGGAGCGTTGGGGAAGGGGAAATTGGCGATGCCTTTAAGTGCAGTTGGGCCTCGCTTGACTCCTCAGCGGCCCCGTGGTGGGGACAGCAGGTGGTGCTTGCTGGCTGGCAGGAGAGTCTTTGAACATCTCTTCCCTTGAACATAAAAGCATCAAGGAGGCTGGGAGAAGGAAGGGGAGGAAGGACTGGAGCGAGCAGCCTGGCAGGGGGAAGTTTGTGGGAGCTTTCAGAGAAAGCACACGCGACTGGAATTGGCTATTGACCCCAGTCCCTTGTTTACTGAGGAACCTGCAGTGTTCAAAGCTTTATCCAGTTATTTCTGACAGTTTTATTAGTTAGATCGTTTTGCGGAAATATAGAGAAGGTAAAGTGGTCCATTGTGTATTTGGATGCTGGCAAATGATTACCTTGAATAAAGCAAAAAGCAGAAGAAGAGCCTTATTTCTTCCTCAGCTGGGATAATGGGAGAAGAGATAACCCAGCTGATGCAGAGGCTGTGGCAGGATGTGGTGGGCAGAGCTGTTGTGGACCTACCAGCTTACTTTAACTTAAACCAGTTTTGAGCCATATCTCAGCATTGTCCCAGGCTGGACATGTGTGAAGTCCTGGAAATCACCTCTGTGCCTGCACGAGGAGCTGGGTGTGTGCATCCCTCCAGCACAGAGGGTCCAGCTCACTGACCAGATGGCTCAGTGTCACTGTGTGAGGGAAACTCTTGCACTTTCTCCCTCCAGGTACATCATTGGGAAGAAAGGGGAAACCAAGAAGAGGCTAGAAACAGAGACTCGAACCTCCATCAGCATTCCCAAGCCTGGAGTGGAAGGAGAAATTGGTGAGTAGGATACACAAAGTGGATGTGTTTTTTTCTGCTCTTGCACAAGCACAATTTAAGCAGAAAGGGGGTACTGGAGGTGTTTTCCCTTTAATTCCTGCTTCTTACACAGCACTGACTCACTTTTTGGCCCTGGGAAAGTCACTTCACTTTTCTCCTGAGCTTATTTTTATTGTCTATAAATCTTTATTAAACGGTGTCAGGTTTGGTTTTTTTGTTTTTTTTTTTTAAGTTACTTCTAGGCTTAAATGGCTTGAGAACTTGGGTCCTGAATGTGTTGTATTTTTTTTTTTTTTAGTTTTGCTTTTGAAATAGTATTCCATCAATAAGAAACTGAAATAAGCATTCAGAGAAATGCCTTGTCTGTCTGTGTGCAAAATAAACATCTGCATGTGCTTTAGTATGAGAAGGGTTGAGATGACATTCGTGACTTTCTGATGCTGTCACTAGATCCCAACATTTAGAGCAGGGCTTCTTGTACCATATGTTCCCTCTCATCACTTCCAGGGATTTAAAAGGAAAGGAGACCTTGCTCATCAGGGCTGACCCTTGTGGGTTCTGCCAGAGTGGGTATTTGGAGGGTTCCTTAGGGCATGCTCCAGAGATTACTGGCACAGGGATGTTTGTGACAGAGCTGTAAGGAGGAAATGCTGGGAGGATCCCACTGTGATGCTGCACAGGAACATGGTGGTGCTTCTCAAGGGGTGGGTCTTGACTTCTTCCCAAGAGCTGTGAAGGACTGTTAGGAAGGTTGAGAGATGTTGAAAACATGGAATAATAGGAAGCCAAGGAAATTTTGCTCCTTGCCATTCTTTCCTTTTGAGCTCAGGTGTTCTCTGTTTGGTGCCTTGAAGCACATGCGCAAATAACACACACAGTCTTGATCCTTGATAGATTTCCTTGGCATTTTCACTCTGACTGCCTATCTAAAAACTTGAAATAATGCTCTAGAAACCTGAAGGGTCCCTGAAATGATGGGCTCTCAGTGTTTTTTAGGCCCCCAGAGCTGACTTTGTGGACAGCAGAGGGACGCTTCTGATGGCATCATCTGTCTTTGCTGAGGGAAGCACAGCCACATCAGGCGTTTTAAGTCAAGCAGGGAGCCTGGCAGGTTTTTCAGTGCATGGCTGGGGGTTTTGATTCCTCCTGCTTCCTTGGGAGGCTGGGACTGAAAGCAGGGAGCTTCAGGGAAGCAGAGAGGTTGTTGTTGCTGTGTTTGCCTGCAGTGATCACGGGGCAGCAGCGCAGCGGTGTCGTCTCTGCCCGGACGCGGATCGACGTGCTCCTGGACAGCTTCCGCAGGAGGCAGCCCTTCACACACTTCCTGTCCTTGCCTCTCAACCAGCCTGCCATCCAGGAGAAGTTCCTGCAGTTCAAGGAGGAGGTGCTGGAGAAGTGCTCAAAGGTAGGGATCCACGTGAGGATTCAAGTGCACAGAGCTGTTTCATTTATTGAGAGAGCTCTTTGGCATTTTCTCGTTTCCTAAGAATGCATTTTCAATAGGCCTTTTACTTAAGTTTGTGGATCTGTTGTGAATTTGTTGAGTGTGGTTGTGAAATTTCCTGAAAAGTGGAATGGTTTATTCAGATATCCTCCCATCTAGAAAAATCTCTATTAACAATTCACTAAGTTTCAAAAGAGGATTGAGGTTTTTGTTTTTGATAGGAAAGCCACTAAATAATGTAGTGGACCTGTCTACATTTTATATAATTTTTACATAACCATGAAATTAGGTAAGAATTTACAAATTTGCTGCTTCTTCTGTTTCACTTTCCTTTTGGCTCCTGACAGTGAAGGAAGATGTGTGTCATTGCCAGAGCTGAGCGAGAAATGACTTGGTAGCACATGCCATCCTGCAAATCTCATCACTTCCCTTCTTCCCCAGGAGACTTTGTGCTGACAGCACTCCTACTTGCCTTCAGATCTTGTGTTGGGAGGAGCAGGAAATAGTTAGGCATAGGGAAATGAGGAAGAAAATGAAGGGAAAGCTCTGCATTCCCTGGTTTATTTTAGTGTGTTTCTGGGCTGGCAGAAGTTGTGTGTCAGTGCACAGGGCTGGGCTGAGGGGACAGAATGGTGTGACTAAATTGCCATGTCCTCTGTGTCTGCTGCAGGAGACAGGTCTCTCTGTGGCTGCTGCAGGTTGCATTGCAGACACACTGCAGGGCTCTGTGGGCTGATGCTCTTCACTTTCATGTCCATCACTTCTTCTTGCTTTGCTTGCTAAGGGGAAAATACAATCTTGCAGATAGCACAGCTTAAGAAGTTTAGTTTCCTATGTCTTCATGCCACGGGTGTGAATTATCTGGTATCTGGGGAGATATGAGTTCTTGCTCAAGTTCTCATGGTCACTTGCACGTCAGTCGTTTCATCTCCAAGAGCAGAAATGAGCTGTCTTTGCAGTCTTGTCTTTCCTGACAGTCAGGATTTAAGCCCCTGTTCTGCTTAATTCCATGACATTTTAGGAGCTTTCTATCACCTGACATTAAATACAGCTGAAATTGGCCAACAGTTCCAGGGATTAGCCAGTGCAGTGCCTGTAGAACCTTTCCCTCGGGCTAGGAGGATGATCTCTCCTCATTAGCCAGCAGCACTACCTTTATTAAAGCTCACCTTGATTAAAGGAATGCCCTGCAGGCAGGCGGATGGAGACATTAGCCTGGGAAGGTGTAGGCTGGACAGAGAGTTGGGACCTCGGGCTGGCATCAGTGACGGCCTGGCTCCCTCTGTTGGTTTCTGGTTCCAGTCCTTGTGAGGGACACGCCAAGGTACAGTGAGAGCAGCAGCTCTTTGAGGGGCTGGTGACCTGCACAGGGCTCTGTAGGGGCTGCTTGTGCCATTGGCTTTGCAGTGAGGCTGCTGCTTTCAGCATGGGCTTCACTTGCCCTTTATCCCCTTCTGCCTGGGCTTATGGCTGCTACAGTCCTGTCACCTGGCCTTCCCAGAGATCTGGCACTGCTCTGCCTGAGGACTTGGCATCCTGGACTCCATGTATTTGATCCTTCTCCTCTAGCTGTCTGCCAGCAGGTGCTGTGGATCTCTGTGGTCCCTCCCTATGGCCTTGCCTGCTGCAGTAACCTCAGTCTATCCCATGCCCCCTGCTGGCTTCTGGCTTCCAGGCTGCCCTGCTGTTGCATGAGTCTTCTAGGGACCTTTCTAAGTCCTTTCAGTGTGACATTTCTAAGATGTGTGTTTTATCCACCTTTGCAGGCAGTGTTGTTGTTTGTGCTCTCCTCCAGTGTTTTTAATCCTGCAGCACAACAGACTCACCCAGGACCAGCCCTTCTCCCTGCAGAGCACTCATTTTTCCTGCCTCCTTGGTGGGCTGCATCTCTGCAGCCCTCCACTGGCCCAGCCTCCACTGGTGATCCTACTTGCTCTCCAAACCCCTCTTGATCTTGTCTGTCACATTGTTTCTCTCTTGCTCGCTCTTAAATGTCAGTTTGCGTGTCTGGGGGGAGGGGAGTTGTCTGCCAGTCTCTTAAAAACATGTTCACAGACTTTGTGCATTCCTCAAGTGTTGTCAGTCACATTTGGAAGGAGCTGTCTGCAAAGCTTCACATGCTCCTTGTCTCAGAAAACTGCAGCAATCCAGCCTTGGTCAGAGAAGTGCTGAGACCAAGTACTGCCTGTCCTCCTCCTGCCTGTCCTTCTGTCTGTCCTGCAATTTTTGTTCTGTCTGGACAGCTCCAAGTCCCATAAGGGCCTGAGATGTTCCTGACACTGCTTACATGAGCTCTAGAGTTTTAATTTTCAGTTTGAAATGTAGAACTCAGTCAGTAACAGGTATTCAGGGTGTTGCATATGCTTAGCCTAGGAATATATAGTGCTTTATTTTTCTGCCCTTCCTTCTCCTGGTATTAGCAAAAGGTTTCTAGATATATTTATTGCTTCCTGTTAGTTGGAGGAGTACAGTGCAGCCCCGTGCGTCTCTCAATCACTCCTCCAGCCAGTAATGCCACTCTAATACCACTTTATCTCACAGCAGGGTCTGCTAGAAAGCACATCAGTAATGAAAAACAGTAATTCAAAACTGTGCCTCACAGAGCAATAAAAGAGCTTATAGATCTGTCCAAAGCAATGGGATTTCTCGGAATACTTGAGGAAATCTGAATGGGTTTCGGTGACAGAAGCGGGGTGTTCTCTACCTGGCAAAACATCGCAGAATTAGGTGAACTTCAGCCTTTGAATGAGGGATAATAATGGTAAGGCAGGGAAAGGAGCAGGTGTGTGTATGTTGTGTGTGTGAGGATCTCTTCTGGCCATTGAGCATTTGTGAGGGACTCTATTTATCTCTGAAGCAGTTACCATGACAACCATTCATTTATATTTTATAGCATTTTGTTGGTAGGTATATGCTTTCTAAGTTTTTTGTGTGTGTGTGTCTTTAAAAGCTTTTAGAAGATAAACCTTGTGCTGAAATACAGAATACTGCAGGTGTTGTTCATGCTGTACAGGTCAGGGCTGGCAGGCAAATGAAGCAGGGCTGAGGGGAGGTTCTTGTAGGTTAATTTAATGTAAATACGGGGAGGTGGTTCACCTGGACAGGCTCATCACTGATGTGGTGCAGTGGGAGGTCTGGATGACATTGGAAGTCTCCTCTCTCTCTCACAGTCATGTAGATGTCAGAGTGGGGAGAGCTGAGACGTCTGTCTGAGCATGCAGGTGGAAAAGGGAAGAGACTTTGCAGAAACATTGCTGTGAAAAATCACAGTTGGGTCTTTGAGAGCTGTGCAGCGTTTGCAGACTGAACAGGCTGCAGATGTAGCAGGGAAAAGAAACATGATTGCTGTCATATATGGCAACCTGTAAATATCAAACATTGCTAATGAGGTATTTTATCTCAGAGTGGAAGGGACAGGAAGTGGGAGGGGTTTTTGAGCCTGTAGCTCTTCAGTCAATCCTGTGCAAATACTGTTTTCCTGGCTCGCTCCTTTGTTTGTGCATCAGGGTGGCACAGGGCACATAACTGGCATGCAGTATCCTTCTCTTAAGGAAAAAAAAAAACCTGAAAAACATAAATCTGTCTGCAAACACTGGGAGCTCTTAACAGTAGAGAGGACACAGCCAGGGCAGAAGAGCTAAGGAGCTTGATCCCTGGCCTTGTCATGTAGAAGGACTGAAGTGTGTTGTGGTTTATGGTTTCCCTACTACAGGGTCTTACATTTGGAGGGACAACGTGCTTGGGCTTTGCAAAGAATTGGAGACCCCAGATAAAACCCTTTCTGTGTCCCTTCTGAAGAAGGAGGGCAGAGGTAGAAGTCTTTGGTAGCAGGAGGGAGAGAAAATGACCGAGTGAAAACGAGTTGGGTTTTTTTGACAATGACAGGGCAGTGTTAGGGAGAGGCATAAGCTAAAAAGGACAGTCATCACATGTGGATAGTGCATAAAGGGATTGTTCTTCCTGCCTCTCAGTACCTCTTAAAGAACCCAGGTCTGAACAGTACATTTTTGTAGAGACAATGGGGCAGGTTCCCATGAGGTGACTCAGTGATTGCTGATCACACATCATGATCTGGGATTAGAGTAATTGAGTTCCAGCCTTTTTGCATCCTGGTGAGCAGCATCCAGCCAGGAAGGGCTGCTGAGACACCCCCAGGAACATTGGCTGTTCCAGGGAGAGCCAGCTCTGACGCAGCATCTATTTTATGTGTGGGAGAAGTGGGATCTGCCGGCCTGTGAAGGAGTAGGGAGTGTAAGCAGGGTTTTGAGGAGCTGCCTGAAGTACTAGGGAGTAAACCAGGAAGATTATCTAGGTCTTGGCCTGCTTGCTGTGCACTGCTCTTCCCTGCTGAACTCCCCAGCAGCAGTAGTGTGGCTCATGGAGGTGACGTGTCATCGTTTGTCAACTCAGCCCACACTCAGGTGTTGAAAACCTCAGGGGAAAATGCTGCTTTTGGGGCAGGGTCATGTTTACAGCACAAATTGTGCTGGGGCAGAAAATGAGGGCAGGGCTTTGGCTTTCTGACCTGCAAAGGGCCGTGTTACTGTTCCTCATCTGTGCACTCTGTGACCTCAGCTGGTTGTCTGTGGCAAAGTTAAATCAAACCTTCTCCCAGTTTCTGTTACCCAAGCTGTTGTTTTGTGAGGGGCCAAATATTCTCTGAGTGCAGGTATCAGTGGAGAAGAAAGGCTGACGGAGAGAAATCATGTCCTGTCATGCATGTGAACAGCAGCATGAATTAAAGGAAGCCACAAAGCTTTTACTGCAGGGAGGGGAAGGTAGGAAGAAGTGAGATGGGGCCATCCCTGGTGTTTGCCAGGCTGTGGCTGCTGGAGCAAGCCCCTGGCCTCTGTTTTGCAGCCTGCCGTGTCCCTAGTCCAGCACGTAAGCTGTGCTGTAAAGAAAGGTCTGCATGTGGTCATTAGGCATGAAAAATGCTGAGCGAGATGTGGGGCATGAAACTCTTGACAGGCTGAGATACTGCAGCATTTAAACGTCTGAAAGGTTTTATTTCAAACTCTGGAGCACAGTAGAAACATCAAAGCTATTGTTCTCAGCTGGTGCACTCTTTTCAGATGCAGAAAGGCTTCCATGGCCTGGCAGGTTGGCTTCTTCTGGAGTTAAAATTGGAGGTTATTTAATGCGCTGATGGGAAGCGGCCACTAAGTGGAAATAATTGTTTTAATATGGGTGTGTTAACCATTCTTGAGGTATTTTTATAAGTATCCTAGAAAAGAATAGCATGTTTCTTAAAGCTGGATGTAACCACTGCTCCACCTGGGAACAGCTCCTCCCCAGCAACAACACGCAGCCCTTCTTATAAAGGGAATTTAAACTTAATTCACCTCAGCAAACTATAGGGCATATGGGAAGAAGAAAAATACAATTATCAGAGCTGGTATTAGCTGTGCTTCTGTTATGAGGTGCAACCTATGTTTAGACAGGATTTAGAGACCATTTCTTGTCACTACAGCTGGTCTCAGCTTTATTGCACAAGAAATGGACTGAAGTTTTAAATCTGAGCTGGCTTGTGTTGAGTTCATTGGTGGTAGCAGATGCTGCGTTGACAGCTGTGGAAGTCTCCTCCCAAAAACCCCCTTACAAGTGAGTGTTGCAGGTCCTGGGTACCAAGTTACAGCCTGCTGTACTGATCTTCCAGGCTGCTGTTCAGCAGCTCTGATGGAAGAGCAGGCAGGGAGCTGTGGTGGGACTGCAGCTCATCTGCCAGGCTGAGCTTGCTTCTTCACAAAGCCTGAGAAATTTTCAACTTTGAGTCATTACCAACCCGACCAGAGATAAAAGGATTGATGCCAGTGACTTGGTACCTGCTTTCTGTAGTATTTATCCCTGTGGTGGAGCAGGGTGTGTGTGGATGAGGTAAGACACCTCTGTGTGATGGATTGATTTGTAGGATCACGGGGTCAGCAGCAGCCTGTTCCAGAACCCTGCAAAGCTTCACCTGACCATTGGGACGCTGGTGCTCCTGAACGAACAAGAGATCCAGAAAGCCTGTGACCTCCTGCAGCGGTGCAAAGAGGACTTTGTGGAGTAAGTGGTGGGAAAGGGATGTCATCACCAAGGCCTTGAGAGAGGGGAAAGCAGCACTCTGTTTTGACAAGGAACAGCAAAGAGAAGAGCAGCTCAGTGGTCTTCTCTCAACTCTAGAAATTTAGAAAAGGGCTGAAATGTTTCAAATGGGGCAGTAGAAATCCCTGAGCAGCCACAGAGAGCCTTACAGCATCTATAGCTCAGCTCAGACCCTCGGCATTCCCTGAAAACCTGCTCTGCTCACTCCCCTTCCTCACGTGCATCCCCGTTCTTTGTGCCTGAGCAGTTTTTGCCGCTGTCCCCTGCCTGCTGCAGAGGGAGGGCTGAGCTCCCTTACCTTTGCACGCTGCCTGCAGTGGGCTCTGCCTCTGGCACTTCCCTCCTGCCTCAGAGCAGATGCTGAGGTGTCCTTGACACACATTCCTGGACGAGGGGAGCTGTGTGCAGGGAGCCTTGCGAGTAATCAGCCTGAAAGTGTCCGTGCTGCCCCGGGAGCGCGGCTGCCTCGCTGCCCGTTAACACCGAGCTGCAGATGTTGGGGCTTTGGCTGCAAATGTGCTCCAGTGACACCGTAATTAGCTTATCTCTGGTCAGCTTAGTAATTGAAGATGGCCTGAGGGGGTGGTTTATTTATTTATTTCTGCAAAGCCTTTGCACACAGAGCACGGATCCTTTGCATTCATTTATTTGCTGCCTCGGTGCATGAAAATTGGTCACGCTGTGCTAGCTAATATCTGTGGGAATTAATGCATGGCCAGAATTCATACCTCTACCTTTAAAAGGATGGCTTCAGTTCAGCTGTTGAACAGAAATGCAAGTGTGTTTCCAGGGGGAGGCTCTGAATGCAATATTTGGAAAGTGCCAGCCTCCACATAAGTAGATTGAACTGATGCCGAGAAAATCATTGCTCCCTGTTTCCTTTAGTGAAGGGGGAATCAACACTTGAAGGTAACCTTTAGTTTATTTCCCCTTCCACACCCAAGTAAATATACTTGGGAAATTAATTAGGCTCCCTTCCACCCACATAAAGCTTCATTAGCTTTCATTTCCTTTTCTAAAGTGCAGCCAGTGCCCTGTGAAGGTAGCTGTGACTGTTTTGACCCTTTTTAGAATATGTGACCTTTAGTGCTGTTAGTTTGGTGTCCATAATAGTACATTTGTGCTGTTTCCCTCCCAGTAACTATACTGGGAAGGGAAGTCACACTGCTTGTTTCACTTGGGAATCTTTGCTGAGCACCTCAAAAGCTGAACAGAAGTGAGCAAGGTCAGAGCAAAGTCACACTCACCTTGTTAACTCATGATTGTTACATCTGCCTGCCCAGACACTCCCTGTTCTTTCCAGGAGCGCTGGGTGTTAAACAAGGCATCACTTACTCACAGGCAGCACTGGCTGTGGCACCAGCCTCCCCAGGATGCTCTGCTGGGAAAGGCAAGGAGGCAGTGTGTTGGGAAGCAGATACATTCACAGGGCGTTTGCAGGTGTGGGAGTGCATATTATATCCTGCATGAAGAGCTGGGGCTGATTTTAAACCAGCTCTGTTTACTGGTTGGATGTTGCACTCAGAGCTGTGTTCTATATCAAGTACCTTTCCCAGCAAAAATCAGAGACTTCATGGTTGGTCTTTTCACAGGGGGGCAGGAGCCTCTCTGGAATGAGAACTTGAACCTTTTAGTTCTCGTGGGTTTTTTGACATGTGGATGGGGATCTCCATGTTGAGCACTGACAAGTTGACTTAATGTGTGTCTGAAACACCAAGTGTATGAATTTAAATTCTTTTACCACTTGGGATGATGAGGCAATGGCAGCCATAGGCTTTTGAGTTTTAGGAATTAGGGAGACTTTTTGAGTTTGGGTTTTTGCAGTGCAAACAAGGTGAAAAACAGGAGCCAGAGAAGAACTCCTCAGTGGAGTTCACTGCCCCATAGGCTCTGTATAACATTTAAGTCCCACTTAACGTCAAATTTTTGTCTCACTGTGGCAAAAAGGAGTATCTAATCTCATTCTCATAATAAACCCAAATATTTGGTATGTGCACAAGGAGCACTGTGTGTTGCATTTCAAGAGCTGGTGTGATGTTTTGCTTTTTAACATTAGGGATTTCTTGTGTTTTAGCCAAATTACTGGAGGGCAGCCCCTGACAGTGGAGGTGGCAGGAGTGGAGTACATGAACGATGACCCTGCCATGACAGATGTCCTTTATGCCAAAGTCCACATGAAGGATGGCTCAGACAGGTGAGTTCCCCCTGCTCCTGTCTTTCATTCCTCCCCAGAGTGCCAGGGAAACCCTGTGGAGCTGGTGGGTGTTCCTGGCAGTCCTCAGGCCAGCAGTCACCAAGATGAAGTCATCCTTGCTTCGTGAAGCAGTTAAGGCAGTGATGTGTTTGCTCTTTCAGTCAGTCACTGGGGCTGCAGCTGAAGGATGTCGTTTGTTTCTGCAGCAGTCTGTCAGGGTGAGTAATGGAGTCACGGCTTGCACAGGGATAAGATGGCCAAGGAGATACTCATGAGATGACTTAGAAGGCAGGATGATTTGGCCTCTGCTGTCTAGTTCCCAGCTTGCAGTCCAGATTAATCTGGACAGCCTGCTGTATTCTATTCTGCAGTATTTAATTATTCTTAAAACCCAGTTAACCCAGAAGGTCCTCAGAAGAGCATGACCTGATTACAGAGTTGGTTTGTGTGTCTGCAGCAGCCTGGAATGGGTGCTGGGTGTGAAATGTCTTTTGGAGCTGCTGCTGCAAGATCTTGAAGCCTGGTTGGTGTCAGCTCAAATTTTTGTTCTGCTCACCACTGTGGCTGATGGCTTCAGCTCTACAAACAACCCTGCCCAGGATGTGGCAGTGTCTGGACAACCTTCCTTCTTCTTGTTTTTGACAAGGACTACATCACCAGTGTGCAGTACCATCTTTTCTCTTGGTGCTTTCTGGAAACTGAGGAAACACGGATGGGGCTTGGAGCACCCTGGTCTAGAGGAAGATGTCTCTGCCCATGGCAGGGCTTGGAAGCAGATGGTCTTCAACACCTCTTCCAAACCACTGTAGATTCTATGATTAACATAAGAGCTGTTGTACTCAGTGCTGCTGGTTGCCAGAAATAGGGAATGGGAGTAGCCAAAGCAGCTTTACCTCCTGTCTCTGAGCCTCAGCCTTCTCTTTGCCTGACAGCACTGCCCTTTTGTTGTCTGTTCCCATTGCTAGAGGACAGCAGGAGCTAGCAGAGGAGCATGGAGCAGTGCAGCTGGAGGAGGGAGGCTGTGAGCAGGGACTGGCCCAGGGAAGAAGGGATATGTTCTGGCATATCCTTTCCCTGAGGGCTGAGGAGATGGCGAGGGGGGGGGCCTGCTTAAAACCACACTTTGGAGGCTGTGTTGAAGTAAGAGATCGGAAGTGGGATAAGGAAATGAGAGGGAAAATGAAAAATGCAAGAACTGCTGGGAGGAATTAAAGTCTTTTCCTTTTCTTGGCTCTTCCACTTTGAAGTCTGTCCTACCCTGGAAGAGGTGAGATAAAAACAAACGGGGTGGGTGGGGAACCAGGGCAAAGCAGAGATCAGCCAGAGACAGAGCTCAGGGAGAAAGAGAGCAGAAGCACTTGGAAAGATGAGATGGAGACAGACACTGCATGACCCAAATGCCCTTTGGTGGGTTTTGTTGTAGAGAGCATCTAAAATACCAGCTTTGGGAGCTGAGGCCTCTTCTCCTGAGTCACCGAGCTCTGGCTCTCTCTGAGGTGCTATGCTTGCCAGTCTGGTTGCATCTGAAAATAAATCTGCGGCCTGAGGAGCTGGGAGAGGAATCCTGTAGAGCATAAGCAGGGCCTAAATTGACAGTGATGTCTGCCTGCCTCTGGGGACAGCTGGAATTGTTGGTACTTGCACCCTGCCAGCTGTACCCTGTGTGATGAGAGCACACTTAGGCATAAGGCTGGAGAAAGTGCTGATGTGCATCAGGGCTGGCAGAGCTGCTTTGGGCAGGGGAGAGAAGTGAGGTCTTCAAATCCAGCTGGCCTTGAAAGTGAAAACAGCACTCCCCACCTCCCCACCCCCCAAGAAAGAACTGATGTCTCCACTGTCCTTCACAGAGATCTGTTAGCTGAGGTTTTTGACAAAACCAGACCTTGTGCTTTGCATGGCACCTGGAAACTGCCAGGCTTCTCTTCCACAGCACCTGTTTTGCTTTTTGCATAGCAGCAGGCTCAGAGAGGGCCAGGCCATTTGAAGTTTTAATCCTTGTCCCAGCCTGGGCCTGCCCTCACCTGCAGATTAATTCACAGAATCACAGAATAGGCTGAGTTGGAAGGGGCCCATCAGGATCATCGAGTCCAACTCCTTGCTCTGGCCAGGACACCCCAACAACACCACTCTGTCCCTGAGAGTGTTGTCCAAATGCTCCTGGAGCTCTGGCAGCCTTGGGGCCAGTGACATTTCCCTGTTCAGTGCCCCATGGCCATCTGGGTGAAGCACCTTCTCCTGATACCATTCATCTGGCACTTCTCCTCCTACATAGTTCTTTATCTATTAGCAAGCACCCAGAAAAACATTTAGCTTTGCAGAGGGGGAAAAAAAAGGTATTTTTGTGTTGATGGAGAGCAGCTTTTCTTTCCTTTGACATTCCAGCAGACACTGTGCTGGACTAGCAGTGATTATAAAGAGAGGACAAATGCTGATGTCTCCAGAAAACCCTGCTTTGTTTCCTGGCCTGTGACGCGGGTCATTGCTGAACAGCTCCTTGAACCTGCTGAAACCTGCTGTGCCTTGCTTAGGGAAATGGGGAAGCAGTTTCTGAGCTGCAAGGCCAATGCCAGAGGAGAGTAGCAGCCACGTGGCTTCCTGTGCTGGATCAGACTGCTGCAGCCTGTGCTAGAGAGAGGTGTGTGCCTTCCTGCCTCATGCAAGATGTCCTGTTAGCTCTGTGTAGTTCCTGGCATGGCTGAGGGGTGGAGTTCCTTCCTGATCTTTGGATGATCTTGATCAGCTTAAGCTGTAAAGCAGGAGATTTGATTTATCCTGACTTAGCTTGCATAACTGCAGACAGAATTAGGGGTTGGCAAGCCCTTCTGCACATATAATGGCTCAGACTGAAAGAGGGATCATGCTCTGATGCCTCCCACATGGCAAATAATTTCCATTATAATTCATTCTAATTTGTTTTATTTCCTTGATTAACTTTATAACGTAATAAAGCACCATTTTCACTTGAGCTATTCTCTGTTAATTTGTTTTAGTATTGTCTGTAATGATATTCATTTAATCTTTGTCATTGCTAATTTTAAAAATCACTGAAGTAAAGCCAGAAAATGGTAAAAAGCCGTGACAATTGGTAGTTTGAGAGTCTTGAAATGGTCACATGGGGGCTGGCAGCCCGTGAGGGGCAGCCCAAAGCCAGCAGTGGGGTCTGAGCTGGCATCCAGAGCATGGCAGCCCCAGGCTCTGGGGACAGGCCACACTCTGCCACAGCTGAGACACCAACATGGGGGGACCTCACCGAGCAGAAAGCTCTCTAATCCCTGGGACGTGCTGGGAGAAGCTCAGATTCTTCTGCATAGACTTAATACCCTCTGGCCTTATTTTCAGAGATGGCAAGCTCTCATTCTGGCATATCCTCTCTACCTTTGGTAAGAATCAAGCACTGCAGAAGTTTTTTGGGCACAGCAGCAGCCTGGAAGTTCCTTCAGCTCCTTAGACATAAGCACATTGTTCTGATCCCTGCTCCTGCTGCCTGTCCTAGGATGGGTCTGCCCTCAGATCCTGACAGTCAAGGCCAGACACAAAGGTGGGAATAAGTCCTTGGATTTTGCTTGCTCGGTAGCTCCAAAGCTGGAGTGTTCACCAGGATGTGCTGACAGGGGTTGTGGCCCTGTCACCACGTCCTGGGCTCTCCCAGAAAGCAAGCCCTGTGGCTGGGTTGGTTATCTGGGACAGAGAGGAGCCAGGCTGCAGCAGTCCCTGAGCACATCCTCGGGGAGTCAAGGTGCCCAAGCCCCTGCGGGTGTGCAGATTTTAGCATTTGCAAGGAGAGTCACATTGTGTTTCCTGGCAGTAGAAAGATGCATCCTTCAGCTCCCAGTAACATCTGTCACTGTGAGCAAGCTCTGTGCTGTGCTAAATCTACCCTTCCTCGTGGAATATTTGCAGCAGAAGCGATCACAGAGGAAGCTTTGTGCAACAGTCAGAACTTTTTGCATTAGAGCTGAATGCTGATGCCTCTGCTTTCCATCAGGGACTAGCTCCCTTTCCTGTGTGCATGCAGAGACTTCATTTCACACTTGCTGCCCTTCTGGCTGAAAAGCCAAGAGCTGATGCTGCAGAGGCTCCTTGTTTTACGTGGCCCTCTTCTTTCTCTTTGGTTCCCAGGTTGCAGATGGTCGCTGATCGGCTGGTGGAGCGCTTTGTGGCCTCTGGCCTGATGCTTAAAGAATGGGACAGGGTGAAGCTGCATGCCACAGTCATGAACACTCTCTTCAGGAAAGATCCAAGTACGTACAGACCCTCCATCCTTGCTGCTAAATGCATTTAAAGTAGTCCTGTTGCTCAGCAGATGCTTTTGGTTTTTGCTTTTTCAGTGTGGTTTTAGTTACCTACAGGGCTTGGCGGCGGGGGGGAGATGTCTGCAGATAAAACCCAGAAGAAAATAAAGCAGTGAACAAGAGTCACAGATTCAAAACCTTGGCACCTTGTAGCACTTCTGGGCTAAGGAAAAATATGTTCAAGTAGAGTCATAGAATGTCCTGAGTGGGAAGACACTCACAAGGATCATCCAGCCCAGCCCCTGGCGCTGCCCAGGACAATCCCACCTTGTGCCTGAGAGCATTGTCCAAACACTCCAGGAGCTCTGGCAGCCTTGGAGTGCTGACCATTTCCTGGGGAGCCTGTTCAGTGTTCCCTCTAGCAAAGAACCTTTTCCCAGTATTCATCCTCCCCTAGCACAGCTCCAGCAATGCCCCTGAGTCCTGTCCCTGGTCACAGAGATCAGAGCTGCTCCTGCACTGCCCTTTGTGATTAAGCTGCAGACCCTGATGAGGTCTCCCCTCAGTCTCCTTCAGGCTGAACAGAGCAAGTGACCTCAGCCACTCCTCATGGAGGTGAGATCTTGAGTTCTCTGTGTCCTGGTGTTAAATTGAAATTGCATAACAATTCCATGTGTTGTGCTGACCTTCAAACAAGATGAAAACATAATCCTCTTTGGTTAACTTAGAGACTGCCCATTTCTTTAGGAAAGTGATTCCATTGTCTTTCTCCTTAAATCAGATGCAGACAGATGAATGTGATGCAAAGCTGAATGTGAGCTATTCTTGAGTGTATGGCGTCTGCTGTCTCTGCCAAAAGATTGTCTGCTCTGGCTGTCTGTAGCATGGTTGTGATCACATTACTTTATAAAGCAGCCCTAAAAGCATCATCCTTGGGGAGGGGCAGTATGTTACAGCCTGGTTCTCCATGTGTGAATGTGCGTGCTCTGGCACGGTGGCCCCTGTGCACTGCAATAGGCTGTGTCAGGAATTCTTTAGTTGTTGCCTCTCTGAATCTCTGCAGGAACAGTGATAACAGCAGGTGATTTGTGTCATTGTCTTCTGGGCAGGTTTTGGCTCTGACTGCTGCTGAAGTCAAACAAGCACACCCAGGGCGTAGAAACCTTGTAAAGATGGGGCTCTGAAACTGAGCCCTGAAAATGTGACCCCAGATTGCTGATGTGGCTCTGTGTGAGGGGAGGCACGTGGGCAGCTAGGTCTGGCATCCTGAGTCTATATTCTGCACAACCCCATGAGGCATGAGAGGCATTCAGACACAATGGGGAGAGCCTTCCGCCAGCATTCCGCAGGCAGCCGTGAAGTCTCTTTGTATTCCATACAGGATTTGAACAGCAAGCTGGATGTGAGGGGGACTTCATAGTTAATGATGGAGATGAAAAAGAAATACTGAATATATTCAGCAGATGAGGCAGAGGTCCTGTGGAAGGAACAGATCCTGTACTTGGGGATTATATAAAAACCCAGCCGTGCTCTGGGGAAATGGATCTCAGACACAGGCTTTTGGCAGCTGCTGCAGGCCTAGGTTGCTATTCTGAATGTCTCTGTGTGTGTGTGTGTGGCTGCATGCCCACCCCACAGAAGCATCCACAGCACACACAGAGGTTTGTGTAGGGGCCGTCCGCATCCCGCCTGGCATTGTGCTGGCATGCTCAGCCTGGAACCTGGTGCTGTTCCAGGCCATGCAAGTGCTGTCTCGCACCCTGACATGGCAGGATGAGGGATGAAAACGAGCCAGAGAGAAGCAGGTGTGTTGCACTGAGCAGTCAGCCCTACAGAATCACCACGGCAGTAGCTGTGATTTAGGGCCCTTCCTCCAGATAACAGAGGTGATCCCGATAGAGGCACCAGTTCCAGCCCTTTTCCTCCTAAAATCCAAGTGGAAGTGGGGGATTTTTGCACTGAGAACTGGGCAAAGATGGTTTATTAGCTGGCAGCTGACTTTGGGGAGGGACAGAGTGGGGGGGTGAAGTACAGCACACAGAGTTCTCCCATCTGAAGCTCATTCTGGTGGTGGCTTTTCTCTCTACAGCTGAAGAACGAAACAACACAATGCCTGGTAAATCATCCTTCAAGGAGCGGGAGTCATTTAATGGCCAAAATATCCTCAAGGTCAGTATGAAACAATCAGGGAAATGGAGCCAGCTATGGATATTTTATAGCCAAAAGAGGTCTAAACACCTCTTCTAGACTGCTTTTGTCTTAGGCTTATGGGATCTCCTGGGGCTTGGGGAGGGGGTGGGGGGGAGGGGGGAATCTGTTTAGAAAATAAACAGTCCAGATCACTCGTAATTGGGAGCATTACAGTATTTAACAGGAGCATTCCTAAAGCTGCTGAGGCTCAGAGCAGGATATGAAGCACGAATGCTAAGTGGGTGTTCATGTTGTCGTTTACTTCACTTCTGTTTTACCCTGGAGACTCAGGCTCGAGTTGATTCTCAGCCCACCAGAAAGAAGCACTTCGTTGCTCTTGTTCTACTCATATATATTTATGAAACTAAACCCCACTCTCATTTCACTTACTCTTTTATTTTTGGTTTTAATCTCTGCTATTGATTTGCTCCAGAAAAATACTGGGTAATGGTAGGGAGTCCCACCAGGATCTGAGGGCTTTGGCAGTGATCAGAGGTTAGAAAACACGATCCCCCAGACTGTGGAGGTTGGGAAAGGTTCAAAGGGGAGCATGCTGCAGACTCACAGGCTTTGCCAACCAGGGCTGGGACTGCAGGCAGCCTCTGCTGCTCATCCAGATGGCTGTGGCAGACTGATGCTGTGCTGCTTGACCCCTGCAAGTGTCCAGAGAGAAAAGAGATGCACAGAGGAGCAGAAATGGAAAACAGCTCCGGCTTGTAAGCAAATTTGCAATCCTCATTGTGTGAGAGGATTTGTTGCAGGCAGCTCTGATAAGAGGGAGCGAGGACAATGCATGGATACATTTGGGAAGGGTAAGAAGATATTCTGGCAATGAAGATACACAAGAGAAGATGCAGGCTGGGTGGGAGCTGGACAACCCAGAAGGACTTTAGAGCCCTCCCAGAGGAGGGGAACAGTGCACTTTATTTGTATTTACAGTCTTAATAATGTATCAGGCAATGGATGCAGGGGGATGTGAAGGCAGGGAGTGGAACTGATTGATCTGTGTGCAGAGGACAAACAAAGGGACAAAATTAGGTTAAGCTCTCATTGTCCTCAAACGGTCTGTGCGAGCGTGGTGTCATGACTCAGCGTCACCACATGTTGAGTGTGCAGTGTGAGACTGCAGTATCGCAAGCTGGAGCAGGGAAGCCACAGCCCTGGTCCCTTTCTTGACTGCGATCTGCAGTTTTGGATAGCTCCCAGTGTTGGGAGAGCTGGCTCTGGAAGGGGGAGATGTGTGTCAGGAGCCCTGAGTGCCTGCAGGAGTCTGCTTTCTCCACGTTCACCTTCGCTCCTTTGTCCTGCTTCTGTTGAACTTGTCCTCAGGCTTTAGAGACGCATAAAATCAAACCGTGGGTCTCCCTCCGTGCTCTCCTCCCAAACCGTTTGTGATTGGGATGGTATTAACGATGCTCCCTCTGCTGGTCACGCTGTTTGTGGGGTCTGAGGATCTGGGGGAGGGTCTTAGGGTGCACGGTGCTTGGAAATGCAACTGCTCTCCTTCCGAGGCTACTTCTTATTCTTGATGCTCTCAGAAATATGAGCCCGATGCATTTTTAAAGCTCCTAATTGATTTTGTACTGATGTAGCCAAAAGAGCTGCTGGCTGTTTGGACTGCTAGTAATTACTTCAAAGCATGTCTTGCCACAAGAAATGTCATCCTTCTCTCCCACCTCCACTACATTTCCTAACCTGCCCGCTTCGTATTTCCCTTTGGTCTCCCACGTGCCTGCAGCAGAACGCCCGTTGGCATTAATTAATTACATGAGTCATAAATAGCTCCCGGCTTCTTAGCAGAGAAGCCCAGCCTCAGTGAGCCACTGATGCATTCCAGCATGACCTTGCAGGGATGCACCAGTTCCCTCCCAGCCTGCTTTTATATCCATTATTTATCTTGTGCTGGGGAGGCTGCCCTCTCGCAAAGTGGTTTCATTAACTTTTGCACCAGGATCTAAACGATGGGCTGTTAATGAATATGGCTGCAGTTAGGCAGGCTGGTGGGAGGGAGAGCCATGTGCCCCACATGTGATTCCAGGCGGTGGGACTCTGTGATGGCTGTGCTGAGTGGTTGTGTTCCCACTTGGAATGCTAACAAAGCATGGCTGCTGGTAGGAGGGTAAGTGGGAAAACTCAGGTTTCATCACTTCCATTCCCACTGTGCAGCCCTGTAGGGCCAAAGGCTCAGGGCAGGACTGGAGCTGTCGGAGCACAGAACACGATGGAAGTGCTGTGGCTCTGCTGTTCCAGGCTGAGGCTCCCCATGGTCAGAGCTGGGGGGTGTGTGTGTGTGCAGATGCGCTGGCAGCACATGTTTGCTGATAACATGCCTGTGCTACACCAGGCTCCAGCTGGTATTTTGCTTTCAGCTGAACTAATCAGAATTTTATTTAATAATCCTTTGTTCTACCCGTTCCACAGAGTTAAACATACACTCCTATTTGTGCTAATAAATGGTTGTGCAGGCCGGTACCTTCCCACACTGCTCAGAAAATAGATCCTGTAGGATGACTTGCGTTTGGGAGTTTAAATTACTTCTGTCTTGAAGAATATCCCTGAAAAAGGCTTCCTGGTATAGGTAGAGCTAAGAGCCCAAGGGGCTGTGTGAGATTTGTGTCCAACAGAGCTTTGGCTTTTCACTTCTCAGTCTAGTCCCAAAAAGCTGGGGATGGGATGCTTCGTGGACATGGAGCCATACATATTCCCTCTAGGCTGGCTTTGAACATCCCAGTCACGGACCGAAATCCTTCTCCGGTCAGCAGCAGAGTGTCTCATCTCTGGGAGGGCACAGGGAGGAGGCAGCAATTCCTGGCTGAAAGGCCCCACCAGCCAGGCCTGGGGGAGATGCCGGGTTGGCATCTTCCTGCCGTGCCTCCCGCCGTGCGCCGGCGGTGGCCGCGTGCCCTGCGCCGCAGCTGGCACGGCGCTGGCACGGAGGCGGCCGGGGCAGCTGCCGGCATCTCCGGAGATGAGGCTGCGCTGCCTCCGGGCTTTTATTTATTTTTGCTTAGTGGGAAAAAAAATCCAACTGAGGCTGCAGTGAATAAATAAAAACGAAAAGAAACGCGAAAAGGTCGACCGGCCAAAAATTTCTGTTGCACGTTTAAGGGAAAGGAAGAAAACCACCTGGACTCTCACTGGGTAAAAATGGAATGAATTTTGGCTTGAGTTGAGGTCTGAGAAGTAAATGAATGGCCTTTGCCACGTTCAAACAAGAAGGAAGCAAATTCTGAGTGCAGAAAAAGCTGAACTCTGCCGCTTAGCACAGATCTGTGCATTAACAGCTTACAAGATTAAATATTGAGGGGATAGCTACTGAGGTACAGCAGCAGAAAGCTGCACATCTTATGTCTTTAGGGCATTAGGGGAGACTTTAAGCTGGGATGGAAGACTGGGAATGGGATCAGCCAAGGTGGTGACACATGCTGCCGTGCCCTGGTCCAGCAGCGAGGCTGCAGGAGTGCCTCTAGGTCAGATAAAGCATCATTTGATGAGGCTCCTTCTCTTTTGAGGCCTGCATAAGTGTATTGAGTTATGGCACTGTACCTGCTTTCACTGGGAGCAGAGGGAAAGTGCATTTACTGTCTGATACTCAGGAGAGGCAGTGGTGTCCCTGTCAGCGAGTCTGTCCTGCTGGGTAAGAGCGGTGTGGTGGCTGTGGCATGCAGCAGTTCAGTTTAAAACATTTGATGCAATGCCACAGAGAGAGGTGCATTGGGAAAGAAAAACCTTGGCCTGAATAAACCCCTGATCCCTGAAAATACCCCAAGCCCACCAAGCTCTAAACAAATGTGTGCCCCTGTGCATCACTTGCAGATGAGGAGTGTAACTCGTGTTCTGCAGCAGTTGGAACCCAGGCCTTTTGTGTAATTTTTGTTTGTGGATTTAAGGAGGCTGAGTCTTTTCCTGATATATTTCTAAGCTGAGGTGAATCAAAGAGCTAAAGAACCGGCGTTAGGTGGGGGTCAGAAAGGGTAAGAACATCTTGTTATCCTCAGCAAGGTGGTAAAGATGTAGCTCCAAAGTAGGACTGACAGCTGGAACAAATACCTAACAGGAGGTGGCTGCTTGGAAAGTTTAGAGTTAAAAATACCAAACAAAGAATCCACTGGGGTGAGGGGAGACTGAGTAAGAGATTGTGGTGCAACATCAGGATCTCAGAAATAAGCCAATGCTTTCCTCACCTCGTTTTTACAGAAGAATCAAAAGCAGAAATGAAAGGCTGTGGTGCCACTTTGCAGAGGGGAGAATTCCTGCCATTACCAAGAGGTACCGGAACAATCGAGGGGGCTCAGCAGTGTGCAATTAGAGCAACAGTGGGATGGGAGGATGTGACAGTTGAGCAGATGAGACTGGAGATCAGTTTGTATAATCATGGGGGAAAAAAGGAGATTAAATTGGGGTTGCTGTGAAAATGCTTTCCTGCGAATTGTATTCTTCAGGGGGAGAAAAAGCCATATTCATGTTATTTGCATTTGATGAAACAGGAATCTGAAGTGGCATTTGAAAAATCAGAGCAGACAAAGGAGGGAAGATATCTTTGTTGGAGTGTTCAGGCCTTGGAGGCAGTGTTGGAGGTTTTGGGGGAAGGCTGAGCCGCTGCACTGAGGAGAACGCAGTGCAGAAGCTTTGTGCTGCCTTTGCATGACAGAGTTCTCTTTGGTGACCTTATCAAGAAAAGGAAAAGCCTTTTTTTTTTTCCCTTAGAGGTGCTCTACACCCCTCTGACTAATTTTAGCAGGAGCTGTGAGAGCTGGAAGAGGGTTTGTTGAGAGTCTCTGAATGCTCTTTCCCCTGCACTTCTGCACTCCCACCCAAGCCAGCAGCTGAGCCTTTTGGAGGTTCTGTGGGTGCCTCTGCCTCCCACCCAGTGAGCATCCCCCCTCCTCACTTCCCTGAGATCCCTGCTATGCCACCAGCCAGCCAGGGCAGTGTCACCTCTTTGATCTTAAGAAGACAATTTTTCTCTGTGGAGCTGGCAGGGGTTGAATTACAGCAGCACCTTAATAGAAGGCAAGGACCCAGCACATTAAATGCAAAAAACCCCAGCCCGCTGATTAGCAAAAGTAGACAGTTCATCCCCAAGGTGCCATGACCCTTCTGCTGGATAATTTTCTGTGTCTATCTGAATTAATTTACTGGCTCTGTAGCTAGACTCCTCCTCTTGGTGTTGGGTGGGCGTAGTGAGAGGTCACACTGACGGGAGCTCCTTGTCCTGGTGTTCCCGGATGCCTCTCAAGCCTCCTGCCATCTCTGCAGCAAAGGCAAAGCCCAGCTCTTGGAAACTGTTGCTGCATTTGCTGTAATAGGAGCCATGGGGATGAGGCTTCTGTGGAGTAATGCAGTGTTTGATTGTTAATTTCCCTAAGCTGTGCTGCAAATCCCTCACGTTTGAGGTGTAGGTCTGGGATCTTATCAGAGCCTTTAATTTGCTGAAAGGGTTTTTATTCTTGTCTGAAAGACGTGCAAAAATCTGGTAACCTCCAAATGTCCCACTTGTATTTGTTTCTTAGTTTGCAGAATGCCTTTCACCATAGCAACTGGGGTTTGATTTCCTGAAGCACATGAATTTTCATGGATTTGTGATTGGGGGAACGGACCCAAAACTGTGAGCTAAAGCAAAGGTTTTGCAGCATGGAAGTGGCAGGAGCACCACTAGATTTGGCTTGTGGGGAGTAGGGATCCTGGAGGGAGGGGATCTCAGCTGGACAAAGCCCTGCACCCAACCCTGAACAGTTCTGTTTGAAAAAAATCCAGCCTGACAGATTAATTTAGACTATTGCTGAATGTCACCCTCCCCACTGCTGCATCACCCTCTGGCAGCTGGGGTGGCTTTGCTCCCGTTTTATGAAGAGCTGAGGTTTCACATGGCAGCAGTCACAGAAGGATCAGCTGCTTCCATATTCACAGAGCTGGAAATCTTGTACTGGTCCCACCCATGGAGGTCAGGAGGGTGTTAAGGGCAGCATGAAATACCCTCCAAGCTCTGCAGGTGAAACCCAGCAGGGGAGAGGCAGGGATATTGCACACGTGAGTAGGAGGGAACTCACAAACAACGTTGGGAAATCAGGCAGACACAAACAGGCAGCTGCAAACAGGGACAGGTCCAGGAGGGAGCGGTGGCACCGGTGTAGGATGGAGAAGTTCCTCAGTACCAGCCCAACAGGCCAGGGTTTGGCTTATGTGGGGCTGCTCCAGACTGAGTCAGCCTGTGGAAATTAAAAAAAGAGGCAGATGTCCTTAAAGTGAACTTCTGAAGGTTAGCTGAAGGATTTGTCCAGTTTTGGGTGCCATGGATGTGTTCAAAGAGCCCAGGGGACAACAGTAAGATGGTTGGGGGAGTAGAAAATGTGAAAATGTCTGCAAGCTGGGGCTGAAAGAGTTGTTTCAAGGCTAATAAAGGGAAGGAGGGCAGCACGTAGGGAAAGCTCTTGAATTTGGGAATGCTTTTGCCAGTAGTGGATGATAAAGTGATAAGTAAATTTGGCTTAAATTGCAGAAAGGGATCAGGAAAATCTTTGTAAAGGGGAGGATAAGGAAGCACTGCTCTAGAGGAGCTGGGAAAAGGGGGTCCTGATTGTTTTGAGGGAGCAGAGATGTTAATCCAGGATCTGCCACCACCAAGCTCCTCTTGCCATGGAGAAAAGGAGGATGGTGAAAATGCTGACCTTCAGTGGTCCTCTCTTCAGTTTGTCACTTCATGATTCCTACATGGAATGTGTGCAGAACACCCATGAGATGGCATCTGTGAATGTACCAAGAGCTTCTTGGCGTTTATGTGGCATTTACATTGGCTCAGGAATAAAAATATAAAAAGGAAAACCTCCCATCATGCGCCTTGGATCTTTCTCCATGAACTTGCTGCTGCTTCTTGTGTTGGTGGTACTTTGCCAGAGAGAGATGGTTATGTTGTTTCCAAGGGACTGCACCAGTGATATAATTGTAAGGGATTTTCCTGTGTCATAGAGGAGATAGCCCTGACTTGGGTATCTCCCAAGAGAGAGGCCACTGGGACTTCTGTGACACAAGATTTTCTCCCTCCTGAAGTCTGCCTGCTTTATTCTTCCTAAGGGAGATGAGGTGAAAAGGTCTCTGCTCTGCTGCCTTTTAAATCTTGCCAGAGGCTGGAAGAAAAGGAGAGGGGAAGGGCTGTTCCTTGTGGAAGGACTGGATGCTATATTGGGGATGGAGAGACACTCCAGAGCCAGCTGCACACTTGCAGAACGAAACAATCTGCAGCCTTGTGGCTGGTGCTGGTGGGGACAGCCCAGGTGACAACTGCCCTCTCTGTCCTTCCTACCCATCTTCCACCCTTGTGACTCTGCACAACATTTACCAAGACTGTAACACCTGAACAGTCTTGGAAAACGTTGGATAGCCAGCCAGCCATCCTTTAAAAAGCCGTGGAAAGGAAGCAGTTGCTAATTTGGGGAGGAGGTTGGGAATGCTGGGAAGAGCTGCCTCTCCGGATGAATGTCTGCCTGCTTTTCCTATGCTTCTCATGCATTATTCCTGGCAAGCTTCCAAGCACAATTAAACCTCTGACAGATAATCATTGGTGGAGTGGTGTCCAGGGTGAATAACACAGGAATCAGGTATTTCTTTTTTTGGTACCAAATTGTTGCAGAAAATTTTGAAAGTCAAAAATAGAAGGAAAAATCATCTACTCATTTAACAAACTCCCCAGGTCTTGACAATTTGCCTGGTTGTGTCTCATCTTCTGGGAGCCACCAAGAGCTTTGGTTTGGGGCTTGTCTGTCATGGTTTGGGGGAGTTTGGGTCACAGCTGAGATGGGGTTTGGTGAATTTTTTGGGATGAGGAAGAAGGAGCTCTGCCAGCACATACTGCAACCTGGGAACTGTGGCAGCTGTGGAGATAAGAGCCTTCTGGAGAGGTCCTGGCAGGTCTGTGTGGGAGGCTGCAGGACTGGGGTACATTAAGCAAGTAGGTGGGATCCCAAAAGCAGAATTGGAGGCTGTGGTTTGTGCAGCAAAGGAGGTTAGTCCGAGGAACTCAGATGGACAGAGTTTGCCGGGGTTCAGTGGACTCTCTTAGAGTCCATCAGTGTTTCTGAGTGTTATCTTCACATTTCAGAATTTAATTTTTTAAGATTTTTAATCTTTCCATGTTTTTGCCATTTCCTCCATCAGTCCTTTTTGCCTGGTGCTGGTATCAGTAATCCAGCGATGTGCAGAGGAGTCAGCGCCTTCCTGCTGTGTCTGGCCTGGGATCTGCCGTCGTGCTGTGGCCGGATGATTTGGAAGGGTGATTGTTCTCTGCTCTTCTCCAGTGCTTTCCATCCCAAGCTGTGGACGTGTTATGCAAACTTTAATTCAAATATATCATCCCTTACGAGGTGGAAGAATTTCCAGGGGAGAGCGCAGAAAGTCTGCAGACAAACAGGTTTTGTTGCTCTGTGTTGAGGCACCTCTTCAGAAACGCCGCTTAATTTTTCTCCATGCTTGTCAGCGGGTGCCTGGCATTTTGTTTGTTCCTCCCCTTCCCCAGAGGGGATAACAGCACTGTAACATGCTGATTTCCAACAGAAAGCTCCTGCCTTTCCAGGCCTGTTCCCTCATTCACCGCTGCTCCCAGTGGGGACACGCTGGGGCTGTGCTGCTGGTGGGCAAGCTGGTGAGCGTTGTCACTTCGTGCAGAGCAGCTGAAGCTGCAAAGCCTCCAGCTCCTCCAAAGCCTCTGTTTAATCTCCTGGTTGGAGCTGTCCGAGCACTGCCATCGGCTGCCAGACCCCGATTCCCAGCGCTGGGTTGTCTGTTAGCAGGATCCTCCTGCACGTGCTCTACCATGGAGGCACAGCCCAGTGGTGCTCAGGCTGTTCACACCCTTCCTGGGTGGGGTCTTGGGGTGGATAAATGTCTTCCACGCAGGAGAAACAGAGGAACGATTGCAGGTGTCCCATCCTCAGCATGGACCACGCAGCAGGAATGATGGTGAGCTCATCCACAGCCACAGGCTCCTGGAGCTATGAGCCTCTTCCTCCCAGCCTCCCTGAAGTTGCTAATTTCTGTGTTCATTCCAGACATGGAGAACTGGACCTGCCTGAGTTCCCTGCCTAGGGCAGTGGGGTTTGTGAGGCGGATTGTCACAGGCTGGTGACATTACAGGACACAGCGCTGAGTCACCGGGGGCAGTTTTGGGCTGTTGATCTGTAATAGCCCAGCCCTAAGGCATTGCTTTCTGGGGCTGGAGTTCACAGCAGAGCTCCCTGCAGTCCAGGGAGAGGTGTGTGTGCATATCCATTTTACTCCATGGTAAAATTGCTGCTTGTTAGTGGGAATTTTTAATTGCAAGGCATTGCAGTGAGTTGTTGCTCCCTCGGCATTTCCGAGGCTCTCAGCAGAGCTGCTTGGACTTTTTATTAATTCAGGATGGGACTTTTTTTTTGGCTGACTACTGTAAACAACGTAAGGCTTTAAAAACTGATCAATAATCCTGATGGTAGTGGCAAAATCCAGGCCAAGGCAGCGTGAATGCAAGCCAGAGATTACGTGAAGGAAGTTTTAAATACCTCTGACTCCCTTCCCTTTCGTGGACTTCCTTTGTCCTCCCACTTCCCGTGCTTCTCCAGCCGAATCCATTAATATTTCTCATGCTTGTTGAGCCCGTGACAGGTGATTTAAAAGCCTCAGTTTGCGTTGGCACCTCCGCTCTTCATAACCAGAGCTGAAACACATCGCTGCTGTCCTTCTGTGGATTAGCTGTGATTTATTGCTGTTGTTCCCAGGCTGGAGCACAGAGGTGCTGTCTCATTCCAGCAGGGTTGTCTGTGGGATGCGAGCCCCCCAAGGAGGACAGCTTGACAAACACCCGTGCTTGGGAGCACAACATCGTTTAGGCGCCTGTTTTAACTTCTTCATTGAGGAGCCATCCTCCTCCTTGCCTCAGCAAAACCTACTTCACAGGCTTAAAAAGGGGAAGAAAATGTGGCAAAGAGGCATCCTGGGTTTGATCTGCTGCTCTGCCTTTGATAAGGAAGTTGTTGTGGTTTAGAGGTTGAAGTTTGTACAAGCAGTTTTGGCTCGGGTTTGCGAGGAGCGAGCGGTTTGATGTGTGATTCTCTCTCTCTCCCAAAACAAGTCTTCAGCCTCTTGTCTTCCTTCAGAAAATGGTTGTGTCATCGCAAGGGAGATCTGCTGGGTAATTTGTGGGTAATCGAGGGGAACAGACCTCAGAGGAAGAAGGGTTTCCAGCATCTGAACAGAATTGTCTTAAATGGGAGAAAATGCAGTGTCAGAAATGACAGTGGTGCTGCTGGCTTTTCCTGACTCAAGATAAACGACTTTGGGGGGAGAAGTGGAGGAAAACTTGCTTTCTGGGAGCTACCACAGGGCTGCCTGCGTTTCATCATGACCTCAGTGGTGTGTCCTTGGACCCAGTCCCCAGGACAGGAGAGGGAGGGAGAGGAGCACTTGGGCCTACGGTAGTTTGCAGGCTGACCTGTGAAATACGGGTTATCCATCATCCAATTCTCTCCTCTTGGGAACTCATGGCTTTTGGGGAGGGCAGTGTGGCTGTAGTCTGTACCATCCCCCACAGATCCTGGGATGCTGCTGCTGTCACTCTCCAGGCACCTGCTCTGTCCCCATGGGAGATGCAGGCATCCTCGCTGAGCATTGCCCAAACCTTTGGCTGTGGCTTGAAAGGCAGGGCACATCCCTGGAGCTTTTGCTTGGAGGTGCTGGGTCTGGGGTTAAAAGTTAACAATGCTCTTTCCTTATTCCATTCTAATTCAATTTGGGAAGGCAGCAGGGAGATGGAGGGCACTTAGTCCTCTAAGTGCTATTCCCTTGATGGGAGTTAGTAGCTTGCACTGCATGTGTGGTGTTGATTCTGTAAGCTGACCTTTACCTCCATCAGGTTCATTCTCATTTATAATACTTTAAAAAAAAATCCCAGCCTCCATCCTCTTATTTATTCCTTGGGCATCGAGGGCATAAATCCTTTGGCATGTTTGGATTTATAGAATTACTGTGCTTTTGCTGAGCCTCGCGTCCCACTCCAATCAAATGACACGGCTCTGCGGGCGATTGCGTTTCTCCTCTCCTGCCTCCCTCCTGGCTGCTCCTGATCCACATCTCCTCGTGTTCCCTGCAGCCTTTCCAGGGAAAGGTGGGCCCTTGGCAGCCGTAGGGAAGGACAGGAAGAGGGGTCGGCCAGTCTTGGGGTTATCAGCGGTTGTTTCTGAAGGGCAGCAATCTCCAGGTACCTTCTTCCCTGGTGCAGAACAAAAAATGCTAAGTTGCTTTCCCAGGAGGCATTTCATCAGCTGTGCTCCAGGGCTCCTCTGAAACCAGAGCGTTTCCGTGGTGGCTGGGGAGAGGGGGGAGTTATAAATATCTTTCTTGGCTCTGCTTGGCTTCTCCTCAAGATAAATAGAAGTGAAAGTCAAAAGCAGAGGCTTGGCTCTCTGCAATCTCTTCTGAGTCTCCAGGGACCCGAGCGCAGGATGCTTTTGTGATGGGAAGCCACTTTCTGGTGTTCCAGAGGTCTTGGAGGATTCCTGGAGTTTCAGAGGTGTTGAGGATGATGATTGAGGGGCCTCTCTCCACACTGCCTGAGGCAGGTCTCAGATGTGCAGTGATCTCTGTGTCTGGAGTCCGGTGGCTTCCGTCATGGGATGCCTCAGGGAGCACAGGAACATCGGTGAGAAGCCGGCCTGAAACAAGAGCAGAAAAAAGTGTCTGTGGTTGTCCTCTAAATCTTGTAGCATGTTTACTCTCAGAAAGTACAGCCACATTACCAAAAATCAATAGTTCTAGCAGCATTCCTCCCTGGGAAACACACAGCTGCTCGAACACACGGGAGGTGGTGAATCTTAAAAAAGCCAAGGGAATACAAAGTGCTTTAGTACAATGGCTTTGCTGCACTTCTAGCAGTGTACAAATGGAGGGCCTTTGACCTGGGCTTCTGGGGCTTCCCAGTCATCCTTCTGCTGTGACATGCCTGAGGCTGTGTGAGGCAAGAGGGGGCTCGGGGAGGGTTTGTCTCATTAACTAACTTTTGCTTTGAAGTACATGTGTTTACTAACAGGTTGTGGTGTGCAGCAATAGCATAAACAAAACTCTTCCTTTGGTTATTTTGTGAAAAGGTTTCACTTCTGGCGCTGCTGATGGGTCTGGCACATCCCAGAATTTAATTTGTTTCCTTCGTGGAATCCTGGAATGGTTTGTGTTGGAAGGAACCTTAAAGTCCACCTTGAAGTCCATTCCATCCCTCTTGCCATGGGCAGGGACACCTTAGATCAGAGTGTTCTAATCCCATCCAGCCTGGCCTTGCATACTTCCAGGGATCCAGGGGCAGCCACAGCTTCTCTGGGCACCCTGTGCCAGGGCCTGCCCACCTCACAGGGAGGAATTTCTTCCCAGTATCTGAATCATGCTCAGGCAGTGGGAAGCCATTCCTCTTTGTCCCATGACTCCATGCCCTTGTCCAAAGTCCCTGCCCAGCTCCCTTGGAGCCCCTTTAGGCACTGGAGGGGGCCCTCTTCAAACCCTAGTACTCCTTGCTTCCCAGCACACCTGCCACTCCCTCTGTTAGGAATCAAGAGAGAGGTTGTTTCTGTTTTTCCTGGGTGGAAAGTGCTCTGTGGTGGGAAGGAGTGACAGTGTGAGCAGGGACAGGTGTGAAGCTTTGGGGTGAGTGGGCACAGTGGCAGAGCATTGCAGGGAGCCCCGAGGAGCAGGAAGCCATCCTTCCTTCTGAGGTCAGCCAAAACAAAGAGAAAGGTGACCAACCCCTTTTTACTGCCATCTCTTATTAATGAGACATTTTATCCTAAGTCCTCCGACGTGAAAGACGCAGGCTTTTGGGAACATAATTAATCTTTCTTGTATAAATCTTTAATTGTATGAAATGGAGTTTGTGTGGCGGTCGTCATTTCTCTTCCTCTCTTTCCCTCCTCTCCCGATTTGAGATGCTTCCTTAGCACAGCTTCTTTTCTGCAGGCTGCTCTTCTTTAGGGCAGTGACCCCATGGAGCCACCACTCACAGTGTCCCTTGAGGCCACGCTGCTGCCCTGGGGTCTCTTGCTCTGCCCCAAGATGGGCAGGGAATCACTTTCCCTATGGCTTTTTTCCTTTGTGGAGTGACAGCAAACCCAGGAATTGTCCTGAAAGAAAACTAGCTGGTCTCCTCTGGAAAAAAGTGTATAGAATACTCTTGGGACAAACAACAAAAGAGCAGTTGTGCCCAAATCAGTGCCAGGCAGAGCCAAATGCCTCTTTGGAGGAGGTGAAGTGCTGCCTTTCAGATGCTAAGTAGTTATTTGGGATTTCAGTCAGTCCTTCTATGGAGGAATTGATGCACCATTGGCTCCAGGAGGATTAATGTGTTGGCTTTCCTTCTTGCCTTCTGCAAAGGGCAGGAAGGGCTGTGGGACTGCCTCAAGCCCACGCCTGCAGAGACAGATAGAAAATTGAATAGGAGACAGATGGAATGGACATTTTGGAGATCTCCAGGGTGGGGAGAAGTCACTGCTCAGGTTCTCAGTGCCTCACAGCTCTCGGGTTAAACAGAGCTTCCAAATTAGCATCTCCACCGAGAAGCTTTTCCTGAGGCACAGCTGATGTTCCCAGGTAGAGCAATTTCCTGCTGCTTAATGGAACGGGAGGAGCACTTTGCGCTTGGATGCCGGGCTTTTCCAGCAATAACTTCTTGTAAGAAATTCTGATGTCATTTTTTTTTGGTCTGCTTCGTGGGTTGGATTAATGGGCAGGGACACACCCCCCGAGCTCCGGAGTTGGCTTGCTTTCCTTCATTTGCACTCAAGTCTTCGCCGAACAAAGACGGATTTGTTGAACAAAGCGGGGTCAGTGCTGGGATGAGGAGCCTTGTGCCTCCAGCCTGCTACTTTGAATTAGGACTGAGCTGTAGCTGTTAAGTCCTGCATCCTGTGGCCTGGATTGGTGCAAACCTCCTGGCCTCAAACCTTGCTCCTGCAGAGCCTGCGACCTCGAGAGGCACCCGGGGCTGGTGCCTCCAGAGCAGTGGTGCCTCCCCACGCTCCCTCAGTGACACAGGCAGCAAAGCAGGGGAGGTTTGAGCAGCTGCTGCTGTAGATAAAAAGAATTCAAGCACAGTCTTTAGTGGGAAAAATAACCTGAAGAACACTTTGATTTAAAGGCAAAACCAGTCTGTGAGGAGAGGCTTTTGACAGGGCCAGCTCCTGCGAGAGAGCCGTGGGCCAGCTGCTGGCTCCCTTTGCCTTCAAGTGGTTTTTTTTCTTCTTCCTTTCAGCTCTTTGAGAACTTCCACTTCGGGGAGGTGCAGCTGGACTCGGTGCGTCTCTCCCAGAGGTTCTCCTCGGACGCCTCTGGCTACTACGCCACATCTGGCCAGCTGTGCTTCTCTTGAGGCAGCCATAGGGGGTCTGCTCTGTGCATGATCCCTCAGTGAAAGGTTTTATAGGACATGAATCTTCAATGGGAGCCTGGGAACTCCAAGCTGGGATGCCTCGTGACTCCTCCAAAGCATGGGAACCGTGGCATTTCCCTGCAGCTTTTCCCACTGCCCTCTTCTTCAGGGTTGCCTTTCTCCTTCTTTCCCCAAAACGTCACAAAGTTGCCTCTTTGATATCTGTGGATTGCTGGTTTTCCAAGAAAACAATAGAACTGGGGCTTTTGGGGCATTGCTGGTGTTGAAATGTGGCTTTTTTTTTTCAGAAGAAGGAAGTTTGTTCTTAAAATAAGTATTTAAAATCCAGGAGAGCTTCGCCGGAGCACGATTTAACGATATTGAGGTCAGGCATTGCTTGGATCTCCAGCAGCGTGCCTGTGTGATGTAGATCTCCAAATAAATTAATTCCCTTCAAAAGCAAAGTGTTTATCTCCTGTTGCATTGATAGTTTCTGTAATTAAACTTCCAGCACAGCACATAACTATGATAATAAGAAAGCACTGACGGTTAGAGCTCTTTCCAGTGACCGTTTCGGAGCGTGTCAAAAAACATATGCCTTGTAGGTGGTTTCTCCATTAAAAGCAGCACCAAGCTCTTTGATTCCATTGTGAATCCTTCAGAGATCTCAAGACAACGTTGTTTTTTTCCTGTAAATCTCCACGTTTGGTAAAAATAGCGACACAGGATTTCAACTTGCCCTAGGATGAACGCTTTGGAAAATGGAAGGTGCTGGTGCTTGGGTGTTTTGTAACTAAACAGGTGCTGCTGCCCATTCCTAGTTGCTTCCGTGGATATGGAATCATGCTGTGGTAGAGGTGGAGAGTGTCTCAGCTAGGGATAGAGGTGCTCCAGCAGAACCCACATGTCCTAGTGATGATTTCTAAGAGGTCTTCACCCCATTTCCTCCCTCCAGAGTGAGTTGGCTGTTTGGCCATGCACAAACAGCAGTGGGAGTCATTCAGGAATTGGGATTGCTATTCTTTTCCCCCCAAATTGTGTTGCTGTTTATGTTTCCCAGATCAAATTGCCTGTCTGCTTTCAAGCCTGCCTGTCAGGCAATCAAATCATCTGTGCTTTTGCAGGGTGCCCTTGCTTGTACCCAGCCACAGCCATTGGGCTGTTTGTGTCCTTTTCCTTGGCGTCAGAACGCCTCTGTGCTCTCCAAAAGCTGCCTTCCAAACGGCTCCCTCGGGGAGCAGAGCACAGCACGCACTCACGGGGAGGTGCTGAGAGCACTTAACACCAGTTGCTGTCATCTTTCCGCCAGCCTGAAGAGGTACTTGGCAAATCTCTTTGGAACAGACCCGGGAGCTGCTCACGCAGCCCCCAGGAAAGGGGAGATGCACCTTGGGAAGCTTCTGCCTGATGAGTTCTTAACGACTCTCACCCAGAAGTTGAGGCAAACACGGGTTTTTGACAATTGGAGCATACTCCTCCTCTTCCCACTTGTGTAAACATGTTTTAGTGACAATTCTTTGGGAAGTTGGTTGAATTTCGCTGGTAAGCAGCTTATCCTGCTGCTCTAGCCTGGCACAGCAAAATTCATTTCACACCTCCTTCCCCAGGCAGAATTAAGGATTCTGATCTTTTGCCTGGCATCACTGGGGTTTGCTGGCAGTTATCCTTCCCATCCTGAGCATCCTGGCAGGGAGAAGAGAAGCTGGATATGTGCTGTGGCATCCCCAGCTGAAGCTGTGAAGGAGCTGCAGCTGGGGTGAGCTGTCACTTGCTGCCTTCCCTGATTTCACCCCGCTGAGAAGAGGAGACAATCCAAAAGCAAAAACCTTGGGATAGGGGGGAGTCTTCACTGGAGCCTTAAAATGCTGTGCTGGGATGGCCAGGGAATGGGGACCACAGTGTGGGCATCGCAGGGAGAGGGGTTGGAGGATGGGAGATGGCAGGGATGAGGGGCTATGGGATAGGGGTGCAGTAGGGACTGGGAATGCAGGGCATGTGGAAGGAATGGGGGATGCATGATGGATGGTAAGAATGAGGGATGTGGCATGACTGGTGCTGGATGGGGATGTGACAGGGAATGCAGGATGGGGGATGTGAGATGGGGACCTGGCAGGGACCAAGGGATGCAGGACATTGGATGTGGGATGGAGACTGGGTGGGAGCCAAGGATGCAGGATGGGGGATGCAGAATGGACATGTGATGGGGATGGGGGATGCAGGATGGGGACTCGGTATCGACCATGGATGAGGGGTGCAGGATAGGGGTGTGGCAGGGGATGCAGGATGGGGGATGTGGAATGAGACCAGATGAGGACGAGGAATGCAGGATAGAGGAAGCGGGAAGGGGGTGTGTCGGGGATGGAGGATAGGGACGCGGTAGGGACGGTGAGTGCAGGACGAGAACTTCAGGATGGGGCTGTGGCAGGAGATGCGGGGTGCACGATGCGGGACGCGGGACGGGGACAGCTCAAGGACGAGGGTGCAGGATGGGGGCAGAAGCGGGGCCGGTGCTACGGCCGTGCCCAGCCGTGCCGGCGGCTCCCCCGCCCCGGTGTCGGCGCGCAGGCCGCCGCCGGCCCCGCCACCGGCCCCGGGCCCGCCGCGGCGGGGGAGAGCCCCGGCAATTTCATGGAGGACGAGCAGTGGCTCTCGTCCATCTCCCAGTACGGCGGCAGGATCAAGCACTGGAACCGCTTCCGAGACGTGAGTCCGCGCCGGCGGCGGGGCGGGGGGGACGGGACGCGCTGCCGGGCACCGGGAGCCCCCTCCCCGCCCTCCCCTCCCCGCCCCTGCGTCTGCCGCAGCGCGACCCTCCCCGGCCTCGGCCCCGTCGCGGGCGCCCGGGGATGCTCGGCGGTGCCCGCATCCCGCCGCGGCCGTGGGCGGCTGCCGGCCCCGGTACCCCCGGTACCCGGGGGATGCTCCGCGGCCCCGGTACCCGGGGGATGCTCACCGGCTCCGGCAGCGCCGCC